GCCCCTCAGCCCCTCAGCCTCTCCTCCTCCTCACCCGTCCTCCTCTTCCTCCTCGCGGCTCAAAGGGACGGTCGGAGTTGGCGAGAGTTTGCGGAAAAACTCTCCCCTGTGACCTACAGAGATTGAACTGATAACACCTGAAACTATCGTCTCGCTTTTCGCTCGTCTCCGTCTCGTCTCGAACGTGGGTTTGGAAATGTGTCGCTCTGGTCTGAATGTCCAGAACCTGAGTCAGCGCTAGTGCAGCGTCTGCAGCTCAGGGAGGAAAGTCTAGAGGTTTTGGTTTTCACATGAGACAGAAATCTGGAGGAAATGTCCATTTCTACAGAGAAATCTGCAGGTGGGGACAGGTGGGTGGAGGGGACAGGTGGGTGGGGACAGGTGGGTGGGGACAGGTGGGGACAGGTGGGGGGGACAGGCAGGGTGGTGGGACAGGTGGGGTGGGGACAGATGGGTGGGGACAGGTGGGTGGGGACAGGTGAGTGGGGACAGGTGGATGGGGACAGGTGGGTGGGGACAGGTGGATGGGGACAGGAGGGTGTGGACAGGTGGGTGGGGACAGGTGGGGGGGACAGGTGGGGGACAGGTGGGTGGGGACAGGTGGGTGGGGACAGGAGGGTGGGGACAGGAGGGTGGGGACAGGTGGGTGAGAACAGGTAGGTGGGAACAGGTGACCCGGGACAGATGGGTGGGGGACAGTGGGTGGGGACAGGTGAGTGGGACAGGTGGATGGGGACAGATGGGTGGGGACAGGTGGGTGAGGACAGGTGGGCAGGGGGGACAGGTGGGTGGGGACAGGTGGGTGAGGACAGGTGGGCGGGGACAGGTGGGTGGGGACAAGTAGGCGGACACAAGTGGACAACAGACAAGGTGAGTGGGGACAGGTACATGGGGACAAGAGGGCGGAGACAGGAGGGGGAAGACAGGAGGGCGGGGACAGGTGGGCAGGGAGGGACAGGTGGGCGGGGACAGGTGGGGCAGGTGCTCTGGGGTCCTTTTCCCAAGCAAAATAAACTTAAACATGTTTTTTAAAAAGTCTAAACAAATTTGCTTGTTGATTTTGGGGACGTGTCTGAGTCTGAGGTCCAGGGGGACGAGCTGAGGGACCAGAGACAAACGTAAAACTCATGTCCTGTCGGGTTTGATCTGGTGTTTTAGCTGAAGTGGGACACAACAGTGGGACATGAGTCGACCGGTTTCCACGGGAACTGTCCCACCCCGACTTCACACCAGGAGCTGCAGGAGTGTAAATTTAAAAGTTTCAGTTCACACCAGAGCGTCAGAAATGCTCCTGCCGCGTCAGCATTCTTGTTGTTTTCAGACGTCGCATTTTGTACTTGCTTCTTGTTCATGTGTTTGTGCCCGAGTCCTGCACCCGCCCGTTAACCCGAGATTATATCAAAGTTAAACCCGTTAACATTCCACCTGTTTCCCGCTCGTGTCCGTGATGAATCACACACAGATTCAAATCATTCTGACTGAAGCGTCCACCAGAAAATGAAGTGAAAAGTTACGACTTCAAAAAACAATCAGAACGAACACGAATTCACAGACGCGACTCGACTGACAAAACTTCACAGGATTTAGCAGAAGAAACACGGCACGGACTGAACCAGGACTGAACCAGGACTAAACCAGGACTAAACCAGGACTAACCAGGACTAAACCAGGACTAAACCAGGACTAAACCAGGACTGAACCAGGACTAAACCAGGACTGAACCAGGACTAAACCAGGACTAAACCAGGACTAAACCAGGACTGGAACCAGGACTGAACCAGGACTGAACCAGGACTAAAACTACCAGGACTGAACCAGGAAACTAAACCAGGACTAAACCAGGACTGAACCAGGACTGAACCAGGACTAAACCAGGACTAAACCGAAACCAGGACTGAACCAGGACTGAACCAGGACTAAACCAGGACTGAAACCAGGACTAACCAGGACTGAAACCAGGACTAAACCAGGACTGAACCAGGACTAAACCAGGACTAAACGAACCAGGACTGAACCAGGACTGAAACCAGGACTGAAACCAGGACTAAACCAGGACTAAACCAGGACTAAACCAGGACTGAACCAGGACTGAACCAGGACTAACCAGGACTGAACCAGGACTAAACCAGGACTGAACCAGGACTAAACCAGGACTGACTGAACCAGGACTGAACCAGGACTAACCAGGACTAACCAGGACTAAACCAGGACTAAACCAGGACTAAACTAAACCAGGTCTAAACTGGGACTAAACCAGGTCTAAACTGGGACTAAACCAGGTCTAAACTGGGACTAAACCAGGACTAAACCAAGATCACACTTTGCGGACACCCTGCTCCACGGACTCGAGGTTCTCTCTCTCTTAAATCCAAGATTAGTCCTGGTTTAGTCCTGGTTTAGTCCTGGTTTAGTCCTGGTTTAGTCCTGGTTTAGTCCTGGTTTAGACCTAGTTTAGACCTGGTTTTAGTCCTGGTTTAGTCCTGGTTTAGTCCTAGTTTAGTCCTGGTTTTAGTCCTGATTTAGTCCTGGTTTAGTCCTGGTTTACCTGTTTAGAGTCCTGGTTTAGTCCTGGTTTAGTCCCTGGTTTAGTCCTGGTTTTAGTCCTTGGTTTAGTCCTGGTTTAGACCTAGTTTAGACCTAGTTTAGTCCTGGTTTAGTCCTGGTTTAGTCCTGGTTTAGTCCTGGTTTAGTCCTGGTTTAGTCCTGGTTTAGTCCTGGTTTTAGTCCTGGTTTAGTCCTGGTTTAGTCCTGGTTTAGTTTTAGTCCTGGTTTAGTCCTGACCTTTAGTTTTAGTCCTGGTTTAGTCCTGGTTTAGTCCTGGTTTAGTCCTGGTTTAGTCCTGGTTTTAGTCCTGGTTTTTAGTCCTGGTTTAGTCCTGGTTTAGAGTCCTGGTTTAGTCCTGTTTAGTCCTGGTTTAGTCCTGAGTTTTAGTCCTACCTGGTTTTAGTTTAGTCCTGGTTTAGTCCTGGTTTAGACCTGGTTTAGTCCTGGTTTAGTCCTGGTTTAGTCCTGGTTGGTTTTAGTCCTGGTTTAGTCCTGGTTTAGTCCTGGTTTAGTCCTGGTTTTAGTTTTAGTCCTGGTTTTAGTCCTGGTTTAGTCCTGGTTTAGTCCTGGTTTAGTCCTGGTTTAGTCCTGGTTTAGTCCTGGTTTAGACCTGGTTTAGTCCTGGTTTAGTCCTGGTTTTAGTCCTGGTTTAGGTTTAGTCCTGGTTTAGTCCTGGTTTAGTCCTGGTTTAGTCCTGTTTAGTCCTGGTTTAGTCCTGGTTTAGTCCTGGTTTAGTCCTGGTTTAGTCCTGGTTTTAGTCCTGGTTTAGTTTTAGTCCTGGTTTAGTCCTGGTTTAGTCCTGGTTTAGTCCTGGTTTAGTCCTGGTTTTAGTCCTGGTTTAGTCCTGGTTTTAGTCCTGGTTTAGTCCTGGTTTAGTCCTGGTTTTAGTCCTGGTTTTAGTCCTGGTTTTAGTCCTGGTTTAGTCCTGGTTTAGTCCTGGTTTTAGTCCTGGTTTAGACCTAGTTTTTAGACCTGGTTTAGTTTTAGTCCTGGTTTTAGTCCTGGTTTAGTCCTAGTTTAGTCCTGGTTTTAGTCCTGGTTTAGTCCTGGTTTAGTCCTGGGTCCTGGTTTAGTCCTGGTTTTAGTCCTGGTTTAGTCCTGGTTTAGTCCTGGTTTAGTCCTGGTTTAGTCCTGGTTTTAGTCCTGGTTTTAGACCTGGTTTAGTCCTGTTTAGTCCTGGTTTAGTCCTGGTTTAGACCTGGTTTTAGTCCTGAGTTTAGTCCTGGTTTAGTCCTGGTTTTAGTCCTGGTTTAGTCCTGGTTTAGTCCTGGTTTAGTCCTGGTTTATCCTGGTTCCTGGTTTAGACCTGGTTTAGTCCTGGTTTAGTCCTGGTTTAGTCCTGGTTTAGTCCTGGTTTAGTCCTGGTTAGCCTGGTTTAATGAGTGGAATTACAAAAAAAAAAAAAAAAAAAAAAAAAAAAAAAAAAAAGGATTTAGCACAAAATGTGAAAACAGTTAAATCCCTCTGTGTAATCCATTTATTTCAACAAAGTAACTGTAATCCAATTACCACTCACTGAAACAGTAACTGTAACTGAATACAGTTACTCATCGTTTGTACTCTGATTACATCACTCCGGTACATGTAATCTGTTACTCCACAACACTGACTGGGGGTCACGAACTCAGACTCAGACTCACGTTCAGACTCAGACTCAGACTCACGTTCAGTCAGACTCAGTCAGACTCAGACTCAGACTCAGACTCAGACTTCAGACTCAGACTCACGGTCAGACTCAGACTCAGACTCACGTTCAGACTCAGACTCAGACTCAGACTCAGACTCAGACTCAGACTCAGACTCACGTTCAGACTCAGACTCACGTTCAGACTCAGACTCAGACTCACGTTCAGACTCAGACTCACGTTCAGACTCAGACTCAGACTCAGACTCAGACTCAGACTCAGACTCAGACTCAGACTCACGTTCAGACTCAGACTCACGTTCAGACTCAGACTCAGACTCAGATCAGACTCAGACTCAGACTCAGACTCAACGACTCAGACTCACGTTCAGACTCAGACTCAGACTCAGACTCAGTCAGACTCACGACTCAGACGTTCAGACTCAGACTCACGACTCACTCAGTCACGTCAGACTCAGACTCAGACTCACGTTCAGACTCAGACTCAGACTCACGTTCAGACTCAGACTCACGTTCAGACTCACTCTCACGACTTTCAGACTCAGAGACTCACGTCACGAGACTCAGACTCACGACTCACGTTTCAGACTCAGAGAAATACGTCAGACTCAATACGATCACGATATCAACTCCACAGAGGAAATCTATTACATAATCTGTTCTGTGATAAAGGGAGGGGCTTAATTGGCTTAATACAGCTTTGTGCAGGGGCAGGTGCAGGTGCAGGTGCAGGTGCAGGTGCAGGGGCAGGTGCAGGGGCAGGTGCAGGGGCAGGTGCAAGGGCAGGTGCAGGTGTGAGCAGAGGACTTACACTCCACGCGTTTCTCCAGCATGGCCAGACGATTGGTCACTTCTGTCTTCAACTCGTTGATCTTAAAAGCTCTAAAAAAAAAAAGACAAGATCAGAACTAAACCAGGACTAAACCAGGTCTAAACCAGGACTAAACTGGGACTAAACCAAGACTAAACCAAGACTAAACCAAGGATTAAACCAGGACTAAACCAGGTCTAAACCAGGACTAAACCAGGTCTAAACCAAGACTAAACCAAGACTAAACCAAGACTAAACCAAGACTAAACCGGGACTAAACCGGGACTAAACAGGACTAAACCAGGACTTAAACCAGGACTAAACCAGGTCTAAACCAAGGATCTAAACCAAGACTAAACCAAGACTAAACAAGACTAAACCGGGACTAAACCGGACTAAGGACAAACCAGGACTAAACCAGGTCTAAACCAAGACTAAACCAAGACTAAACCAAGACTAAACCGGGACTAAACCGGGACTAAACCAGGACTAAACCAGGACTAAACCAGGTCTAAACCAAGACTAAACCAGGTCTAAACCAAGACTAAACCAAGACTAAACCAAGACTAAACCGGGACTAAACCGGGACTAAACCAGGACTAAACCAGGACTAAACCAAGACTAAACCAGGACTAAACCAGGACTAAACCAAGATTAAAACCAGGACTAAACCAGGTCTAAACCAGGACTAAACCAGGACTACACCAAAACTAAACCAGGTCTAAACCAAGACTAAACCAGTATTAAACCAGGATTAAACCAGGATTAAACCAAGTCTAAACTGGGACTAAACCAGGATTAAACCAGGACTAAACCAAGTCTAAACTGGGACTAAACCAGGATTAAACCAGGACTAAACCAGGATTAAACCAAGTCTAAACTGGGACTAAACCAGGACTAAACCAGGGTTAAGATAAAAAACAAAAAGCAATAAAAAAACTGCAAAATCAGGATTTCTTCTCTTAAACATCTTGGACCAAACACCTGAACTAAAACCAGAACCAGTCTGGACTAAACCCGGGTCAGGACTCGAGTCTCTTACCTGGAGAACTGCTCGGCCACCTGAGTCAGCACATTCTGGAAGAGCTCCTCCTTATCTGCAACAGACCAGAACTAAACCAGGACCGAACCAAGTCTGGACCGGGTCTGGAGCAGGTTTGGACCAAGCCTGAGATAAGTCTAAACCTGAACCGGACCGAGATGAATCCAGCGCCGTCTAAACCAGGACTAAACCAGGACTAAACTAGGACTAAACGAGGACTAGTCTTGGTCTGAACCTGGACTGAACCTGGTCTAGAACGGGTCCAAAACACTGACCCTCTGCGGAGAGAAAAACCAGGTCAGGACTCGGACTGCGGCTCCAGGAAAACAAGCCGGAGTCCAGAACACACCGAGCTCATGTGAACCAATCAGAGCGCGGGAACAGGCTGACAGGTTTACAGCCGACGCCTGATTGGCCGAGAGCCGGGCAAAGTTCAGCGCCGCGGCCAATAAAATGACGACATGAGCGGAGCGACGGGAACAACACTGAGACGGCGTCCGCTTCAGAGAGACTCTGTCCAGCGGGCTGAAGGTCGACGGTTCGAATCCCGGACTCGACTTAAAACAAAAACTAAGAATTTGTGTGTCGTTTGTTTGTTTGTTTGTTTGTTTGTTTTTCAAAATAAAAACAAAAATAAGAAAATGAAAAAAAAAAAAAGATGATTTTCTTCATTATTTGTCTCCAAAACCAAAATATAAAAACAGATAACGGACTAAACCAGGACTGAACCTGGACTAAACCGGGACTGAACCTGGACTAAACCGGGACTGAACCAGGACTAAACCGGGACTGAACCTGGACTAAACCAGGACTGAACAGGGACTAAAACCGGATTAAAACAGGACTAAACCAGGACTGAACCTGGACTAAACCTGGACTAAACCAGGACTAAAACAGGACCAAAACAGGACCAAAACAGGACTAAAAGAGGACTAAACTGGGACTAAACCAGGACTAAAACAGGACCAAAACAGGACCAAAACAGGACTAAAACAGGACTAAACCACGACTAAACCAGGACTAAAACAGGACTAAACCTGGACTAAACCTGGACTAAAACAAGACCAAAACAGGACTAAACCAGGATTAAACAAGGACTGAACCATGACTAAAAAAGGTCTAAACCAGGTCTAAACTAGAACTGAACCAGGCCTAAACCAGGACTAAACCAGGACTAAACAAGGACTGAGTATCAGGACGGGTCCGGAGGTGCACTTGCGTAGACTGACAGGTGATCAGGACTGAGACCGGGACCAGACTGGGACTGAGACCAGGACTGAGACCAGGAGTGAGACCAGGACTGAGACCAGGACTGAAACCGGTTTAGTCCTGGTTTAGTCCTGGTTCAGTCTGTATGCGGCGCAAGTCCGGCATCGCAGTTTAAGTCACGGAAACGGGAAACGGGCTCCGCGTACAATCTGTGCATCATTCATTCGTTTTTCAAAATAAAACCAAAAACAACAAAACAAAAAAAAACAAAAAAAAAAGTCTTCATTATTTGGATTATAAATGGATAACAATTTTATTTTATTTTTTTTTCAGTTTTCGATTTTGTGTTTAAATGACAAATGGAATGGAATGGTTTCCTGTTTATTATGAATTGGCTAAATTTACAAGTTGTTAAGTCGTGTTCTGATGTTGTTTCCTCCTCAAAAACAGAGCTGGACTTGTGTTTAGTTTCAGTCACATGTTTGAGTAACTCTGCATTATTAATCTGTCCACATCTCAAAAACTCAAAACGCTCTGTTCCACCTTGTGATGTCATGAAGTTGTAGTTTTCAAGTGAACAGCTCCTTTTACCTTTAGTTCAGTTGAGATCGACAACTCCAGAGGCTGAAATGATCCAGATGATTCTAGTGAAGGTGTGTGGAGTTTAAAAACACAGTGGAGCACTTCATATATCACCACATGATGACATCACAAGGTGGAACAGAGTGTTTTCAGTTTGAGAGAGGAACTAAATCTAAATCTGCAGAGTTTGTGAGTTAAACTTGTGTGAATGAAACAAAAACACAACTCCGGGTTAAAGCAGAAACATCTCCGTGGAGACGAGCAGAAAAGTGACACGGTGCCCCTGTCAGCTTCATTAATCCGCGCGACAGGAGCGGTTGTGAGGCAGGGACTCACCTGCCAGCTGTCCTCCGCCCAGAGGGACCACTTTGTACGCCGACCTGTCACAAAACACACGCCGTTAAACCCGACGCACACAAACCCGACACACACACATCACACGCAGACCACAGAATGGGTTTAAAGCTGCACTGTGGAACTTTTCGGTTGGGGGTCCATCACCTGCTCGTTTCTACGGATACGTCGCTGCTCTGTCGGGAATGTTCCGCAGTGTGACTTTAAACAGCTCGACTTTGCATTTATTCAGTTACAGGATTAAATCATTGGACGGAGCCTCCACCAGAAAAGTTACGCGGTGCAGCTTTAATCGTTAAGTAAGAGTCACATGCGAAACACGCGCGGGTGGTGTTTTTCCGCACCTCTCCGTGTTGTGGGGCATGGTGGGGTCGATGGAGACCATGGCCCCGGTGGAGTCCAGCAGGGACAGGTTGGTGTTCCTGAAAAAAAAACACACGGACCAATCAAATTAAAGAACAAGAGCGGGCGGGGTCAGGAGAGAGAGGGGTGGAGTCTGAGGGAGGAGGGTGGAGTCTGAGAGAGGGGGGTGGAGTCTGAGAGAGGGGGGTGGAGTCAGAGAGAGGAAGGTGGAGCAGTGGTGTAGTTGGTGTAGTGGGTGTGGTGTAGGTGTACATGGTGTAGTGGGTGTAGGTGTAGGTGGTGTAGGTGGTGTAATGGGTGTAGTGGGTGTAGCAGGTGTGGTGGGTGTAGGTGGTGTAGATGGTGTAAGTGTAGGTGGTGCAGTGGGTGCAGCTGGTGTAGTGAGTGTAGTCGGTGTAGGTGGTGCAGTGGGTGTGGCTTAGGTGTAGGTGGTGTAGGTGGTGTAGTGGTTGTAAGTGTAGGTGGTTGTGGTGTAGGTGGTGTAGGTCTAGCGGGTGTGGTTGTGTAGTGGGTCTGGTGTAGTTGGTGTAGTGGCTGTGATGTAGGTGGTGTAGGTGGTGTAGTGGGTGTAGCAGGTGTGGTGTAGTGGGTGTAGGTGGTGTAGTGGGTGTAGGTGGTGCAGTGGGTGTAGCAGGTGTGGTGTGGTGGGTGTAGGTGGTGTAGACGGTGTAAGTGTAGGTGGTGTAGTGGGTCTGGTGTAGGTGGTGCAGTGGGTGTAGGTGGTGCAGTGGGTGGGGCATAGGTGGTGTACATGGTTGCGATGTAGGTGTAGTTGGTGTAGGTGGTGTGTAAATGTAGTAGGGTTAGGTGGTGTAGGTGTAGGTGGTGTAGTGCGTGAGGTGTAGGTGTAGGTGTTGCAGGTGGTTGTGGTTTAGGTGGTGCAGTGTAGTGAGTGTAGGTGGTGTAGTGTGTGGTGTAGGTGGTGTAATGGGTGTAGTGGGTGTAGGTGGTGCAGTGTGTGTATGTGGTTGTGGTTGTGGTGTAGGTGGTGTAGTGAGTGTAGTCGGTGTAAGTGGTGTAGTGGGTGTAGGGGGTGCGGTGGGTGTGGCTTAGGTATAGGTGGTGTAGGTGGTGCAGTGGGTGTAGAAGGTGTGGTGGGTGTGGTTGTGATGTAGATGTAGGTGGTGCAGTGGGTGTGGTGTAGGTGGCTGTTTTGTAGGTGGTGTAGTGAGTGTACGTGGTGTAGGTGTAGGTGGTGTAGGTCTAGCGGGTGTGGTTGTGTAGTGGGTCTGGTGTAGTTGGTGTAGTGGCTGTGATGTAGGTGGTGTAGTTGGTGTAGCTGGTGTAGTTGGTGTAGGTTTTGTAGGTGGTGTAGTTGGTGTAGGTGGTGTAGTTGGTGTAGGTGGTGTAGATGGTGCAGGTGGTGCAGTGGGTGGTGGTTCTTACCTGGGCAGTCCCAGAGCCGTACAGAACAGTTCTCTGATGTCACAGGGGCTGCAGTATCTGCTGAACACCACCTGCAACAGAAGCACCATCAGGTCCTCCTCCACCCTCCAACACAACCTCCACCCTCAGATCCTCCACAAACACAACCTCCACCCTCAGATCCTCCACCCTACACAACACACCTCCACCCTCAGATCAGATCCTCCACAAACACAACCTCCACCCTCAAGATCCTCCACAAACACAACCTCCACCCTCAGATCCTCCACAACTTCAACACACCAACCTCCACCCTCAGATCCTCCACAAACACCTCCAAGATCCTCCTCAATCACCACAAATCACCACCTCACCCTCAGATCCCTCCACAAACACAACCTCCACCCTCAGATCCTCCACAAAACACCAATCCTCCACAGATCCTCCAAAACACCACCTCCACCCTCAGATCCTCCACAAACACAACCTCCACCCTCAGATCCTCCACAAACACAACCTCCACCCTCAGATCCTCCACAAACACAACCTCCACCCTCAGATCCTCCACAAACACACCAGGACCACAACCAGGACCAGGACCAGGGACCAGGACCAGGGACCAGGGACCAGGGACCAGGACTGAGACCAGGACTGAGACCAGGAGCAGACTGGGACAAGATCAGAACTGAGACCAGAAGTAGGCTGGGACCAGACTGGGACTGAGACTGGGACCAGATTGGGATCGAGACCAGGACCAAGACTGGGACCAGAACAGGACTGAGACGGTTTTAGTCCTGGTTCAGTCCAGTATCACAATTTAAGTCACGTAGACAGAAAACAAATCATTATCTGTTTTTTCATTTTGGTTTTGGAGACAAATTAAGAAGAAAATTGTTTTTTTTTTTTTTTTTTTTTTTTATTTTTTGTTTTATTTTGAAAAACAAATGAACGAATGGCACACGGATTCAGACGGGGACACAGATTTAATGTTTGTAGAATTTAAAATAACAAACACGTCTCTAAGAACAGGTCGACAGGAGCAGGTCACAGGTCAGAGGTCAGAGTGAGACTTAAACTCAGTCACATGACCTGAAGTGTGACATTTTACACTGGAACATGTGACAGTGACACACAGAGCCTCAGGAGCAGCACGATACACGATAAACACAAACAACAACACGATAAACACAAACAACAACACGATAAACACAAACAACAACACGATAAACACAAACAACAACACGATAAACACAAACAACAACACTAAACACAAAACACCAACACGATAAACACAAACAACAACACGATAAACACAAACAACAACACGATAAACACAAACAACAACAACAACATAAACACAAACAACAACACGATAAACACAAACAACAACACGATAAACACAACAACACGATAAACACAACAACAACACGATAAACACAAACAACAACACGATAAACACAAACAACAACACGATAAACACAAACAACAACACGATAAACACAAACAAACAACACAAACGATAAACACAATAAACACAACAACAACACGATAAACACAAACAACAACACATAAACACAAACAACAACACATAAACACAAACAACAACACGATAAACACAAACAACAACACGATAAACACAAACAACACGATAAACACAAACAAAACACGAAAACACACAGATAAAGATAAACACACAAACAAACAAAACAAACAAACAACACGATAAACACAAACAACAACACGATAAACACAAACAACAACACGATAAACACAAACAACAACACGATAAACACAAAACAACAACACGATAAACACAACAACAACACGATAAACACAAACAACAAAACCATAAACACAAACAACAAACACAAACAACAACACGATAAACACAAACAACAACACGATAAACACAAACAACAAACACAAAGAACAACACGATAAACACAAACAACAACACGATAAACACAAACAACAACACGATAAACACAAACAACACACGATAAACACAAACAACACGATAAACACAAACAACAACACGATAAACACAAACAACAACACGATAAACACAAACAACAACACGATAAACACAAACAACAACACGATAAACACAAACAACACGATAAACACAAACAACAACAATAAACACAAACAACAACACGATAAACACAAACAGCAACACAACGACAAACACAGTGTTCCAGAGCTCAGGCGCAGAACAGTTTTAATCTGTGTGTCGTTCGTTCATTCGTTTTTCAAAATAAAACCAAAAATAAGAAAATGAAAATACAACTATTTTCTTCATTATTTGTCTCCGAAACCAAAAAAAAAAAAAAAAAAAAAAAACAGATAATGATTCGGTTTTTTCTGTTTTCGATTTTGTGTTTAAATGAAAAATGGAAAAAACGGATAATGACAGTTTCAGGTTTCCGTGACTTAAAATGCGACGCCGAACTGAACCAGGACTGAACCAGATCTAAACCAGGACTAAACCAGATCTGAACCAGATCTAAACCAGGACTAAACCAGATCTGAACCAGGACTAAACCAGATCTGAACCAGATCTAAACCAGGACTAAACCAGATCTGAACCAGATCTAAACCAGGACTAAACCAGATCTGAACCAGATCTAAACCAGGACTAAACCAGATCTGAACCAGATCTGAACCAGGACTAAACCAGATCTGAACCAGATCTAAACCAGGACTAAACCAGATCTGAACCAGATCTAAACCAGGACTAAACCAGATCTGAACCAGATCTAAACCAGGACTGAACCAGATCTAAACCAGGACTGAACCAGATCTAAACCAGGACTGAACCAGGACTGAACCAGATCTGAACCAGGACTAAACCAGATCTGAACCAAGACTAAACCAGGACTGAACCAGGTCTAAACCAGGACTGAACCAGGTCTAAACCAGGACTGAACCAGAACCAAACCAGGACTAAACCAGATCTAAACCAGGACTGAACCAAGACTGAACTAGGACTAAACCAGGACTAAACCTGGACTAAACCTGGACTAAACCTGGACTAAACCTGGACTAAACCAGGACTAAACCAGGACTAACAGTGGCCACACCGGCTCGTCAAAGCCTGATCCCGTCAGATCTCAGAAGCTCAGGGTCTGGACCTGGTCTGGATTTGGATGAGACTCTGTGAAAATCAGTTTCCACAGGAGGCACCAGTCACAAAAACTGTTGTTGTGTCCTTAGGCAAGACACTTCACCCACATTGCCTCATATGAAGGTGGTGAGTGATGGTGGCGGTCAGAGGGGCCAATGGTGCAGATTGGCAGCCGCAGTTCTGTCAGTCTGCCCCAAGGCAGCTGTGGCTACAGTAATAGTTTACACCATTGAGAACAAAGTGACTGAAGAATGAAGTGTAAAACATGTTTCTGACAAATGTCTGTGAAAATGGTCTATAAATCAAAAATTACTTACTACTAGGACTAAACCAGGACTAAACCAGGACTAAACCAGGACTAAACCAGGACTAAACCAGGACTAAACCAGGTCTAAACCAGGACTAAACCAGGACTAAACCAGGTCTAAACCAGGACTAAACCAGGAACTAAACCAGGACTAAACCAGGTCTAAACCAGGAACTAAACCAGAAACCAGGACTAAACCAGATCTAAACCAGGTCTAAACCAGGACTAAACCAGGACTAAACCAGGTCTAAACCAGGACTAAACCAGGACTAAACCAGAGGAGCATAAATTTCGTGTGTTTAACCAAAATCCTTCAGACTTGTGGATTTATTCTCAGATTTTAAACTGACGATGCACAAACCCTGATGCTTTTTTCACAGTTTTATTTACACAAACGTCTCAGTCCAGGTGTGTCCGGGTTTTAATTTGATAAATCTGTTCACTCTGCCTTAATAAAAAGATCATTAACTCAACTTAACCACAGATCGATGCGCTGCCCAAGGAAAAAACCAAAAAAAAACCACACACATAAAACTGTAAAGAGAGAGAGAGAGAGAGCTGCACCGTGACCAGAACTAAACCAGGACTAAACCAGAACTAAACCAGAATCTAAACCAGGACTAAACCAGGACTAAACCAGGACTAAACAAACCAAACCAGGACTAAACCAGAACCAAACCAGGACTAAACCAGACTAAACCAGGACCCAGGACTAAACCAGATCTAAACCAGGACTAAACCAGAACCAAACCAAGACTAAACCAGGACTAAACCAGGCTAAACCAGGACTAAACCAGAACTAAACCAGAATAAACCAGGACTAAACCAGGAACTAAACCAGGACTAAACCAGGACTAAACCAGGACTAAACCAGACTAAACCAGAACTAAACAGACTAAACAGAAAAAGACTAAACCAGGACTAAACCAGGACTAAACCAGATAAACAGGAAACCAGGACTAAACCAGATCTAAACCAGACTAAACCAGACTAAACCAGGACTAAACCAGTAAACCAGGACTAAACCAGGACTAAACCAGGACTAAAAACCCAGGATCTAAACCAGGACTAAACCAGGACTAACCAGGACTAAACCAGGACTAAACCAGATCTAACCCAGGACTAAACCAGGACTAAACCAGAACTAAACCAAAACCAGGACTAAACCAGACTAAACCAGGACTAAACCAGACTAAACCAGATAAACTAACCAGGACTAAACAGGACTAAACAGAACTAAACCACTAAACCAGGACTAAACCAGATCTAAACCAGGACTAAACCAGATCTAAACCAGATCTAAACCAGGACTAAACCAGGACTAAACCAGATCTAAACCAGGACTAAACCAGGACTAAACCAGATCTAAACCAGGACTAAACCAGACTAAACAGGACTAAACCAGGTCTAAACCAGGACTAAACAGACTAAACCAGAACTAAACCAGGACTAAACCAGGACTAAACCAGATCTAAACCAGGACTAAACAGGACTAAACCAGGACTAAACCAGATCTAAACCAGGACTAAACCAGGTCTAAACCAGGATCTAAACCAGGACTAAAACCAGATCTAAACCAGGACTAAACCAGGTACTAAACCAGGAAAACTAACCCAGGACTAAACCAGGATAAAACCAGATCTAAACCAGGACTAAACCAGGACTAAACCAGATCTAAACCAGGACTAAACCAGACTAAACCAGGACTAAACCAGAACTAAACCAGGACTAAAACAGAAACCAGATCTAAACCAGGACTAAACCAGGACTAAACCAGATCTAAACCAGGACTAAACAGGACTAAACCAGGACTAAACCAGAACTAAACGGACTAAACCAGATCTAAACCAGGACTAAACCAGATCTAAACCAGGACTAAACCAGGACTAAACCAGATCTAAACCAGGATAAACTAAACCAGGCCTAAACCAGGACTAAACCAGAACTAAACCAGGACTAAACCAGGACTAAACCAGGACTAAACCAGAAAACCAGGACTAAACCAGGACTAAACCCAGGACTAAACCAGGACTAAACTAACCAGGAACTAAACCAGGACTAAACCAGACTCTAAACCAGGACTAAACCAGGACTAAACCAGACTAAACCCAGGACTAAACCAGGACTAAACCAGGACTAAACCAGACTAAAACCAGACTAAACCAGACTAAAACCAGGACTAAACCAGGACTAAACCAGATCTAAACCAGGACTAAACCCAGGACTAAACCAGACTAAAACCAGATAAACCAGGACTAAACCAGGACTAAACCAGGACTAAACCAGAAACTAAACCAGAACTAAACCAGATCTAAACCAGGACTAAACCAGTCTAAACAGACTAAACCAGGACTAAACCAGGACTAAACCAGGACTAAACCAGAAACCAGGAACTAAACCAGGACTAAACCAGACTAAACCAGGACTAAACCAGGACTAAACCAGGACTAAAACCAGGACTAAACCAGACTAAACCAGGACTAAACCAGACCTAAACCAGACTAAACCAGGACTAACCCAGGACTAAACCAGACTAAACCAGGACTAAACCAGAACTAAACCAGATAAAAACCAGGACTAAACCAGGACTAAAACCAGACTCTAAACCAGACTAAAACCAGGACTAAACCAGATAAACTAAACCAGAAAACCAGGACTAAACCAGGACTAAACCAGAACTAAACCAGGACTAAACCAGACTCTAAACCAGGACTAAACCAGGACTAAACCAGGACTAAACCAGACTAAACCAGGACTAAACCAGGACAAACCGTAAACCCAGATCTAAACCAGGTCTAAACCAGGACTAAACTAAACCAGACTAAACCAGGTCTAAACCAGGACTAAACCAGGACTATTTCAGTTCTAAACCAGGTCTAAGGAAGAAAGGTCAAGGAAAAAAACAAAACAAAACACACAATATCGTAAAGAGACTCTGCAGCTGCACCGTGACCCGGGATCATCTGCCCGCCCTGACCCGGGTCTCTCCCCCCCGGGTCTCTCCCTCCCCGGGTCCTCTCCCCCCGGGTCTCTCCTCCCCGGGTCTCTCCCCCCCCGGGTCTCTCCTCTCCCCTCCCGGGTCTCTCCTCCTCCTCCGGGTCTCTCCTCTCTCTCTCCCGGGTCTCTCTCTCTCTCCGGGTCTCTCCTCCCCGGGTCTCTCCCCCCCGGGTCTCTCCCCCCCGGGTCTCTCCCCCCCGGGTCTCCGCCCCGTGTCTCTCGTACCTTCTGGATGCGTCCGTCCACGTCCAGGTAAATGACGCGGTACGAGGAGGAAGCGGATCCCATGTCTGTCCCCCGCGCCGCGCTGCTCCTCAGCACTTCTGACCCCGGAGCGACGCACCGTCAGCGGCCACACCACATGACCGTCCGCCCCCCCGCTCCGCCGTGGACCCTCCGTGGACCCTCCGTGGACCCTCCGTGGACCCTCCGTGGACCCTCCGCCAACAACAACAAAAAACAAACAAAAAAAAACCCACACAAAAAGCCACGCAGACGCCGCCGCGCAGTCGGAGCGGTGCTGTCGCTGCGCTCGTGTTTTGCGTCGCGTGTTTTTTGCTGCGCGTGTTTGTTGCGCCGTCGGTGCGATTGAAGCAGGTGTAGCGCGCTCCGCCAATGGCACGCGCGGCCGCAGTGACGTCACGCCGGCCCACGCACGGGTTACCCAGGGCGTCACATTGTTCGCGGATCCGACGTGGACCGCGGTGGTTTTTTTACGCACGGCGCGGTTCGGTTTCACACGGACCGAATAAAGCCCCAAACCCGGTCCGAACTGTTCACCTGTTGCACTAAACCGGGACTAAACCAGGACTAAACCAGGACTAAACCAGACTAAACCAGAACTAAACCAGGACTAAACCAGAACTAAACCAGGACTAAACCAGAACTAAACCAGGTCTAAACCGGGTAAACTAAACCAGGACTAAACCAGGACTAAACCAGGACTAAACCAGGAACTAAACCAGAACTAAACCAGGTCTAAACCAGGACTAAACCAGGGATTAAACCACAACTAAACCAGGGACTAAACCAGAACTAAACCAGGACTAAACCAGAACTAAACCAGGACTAAACCAGGAAACTAAACCAGAACTAAACCAGGTCTAAATCCAGGTCTAAACCAGGACTAAACCAGGTCTAAACCAGGACTAAACCAGAACCAGGTAAACCAGGTCTAAACCAGGAACTAAACCAGGTCTAAACCAGGACTAAACCAGGGTCTAAACCAGGACTAAACCAGGGACTAAACCAGAACTTAAACCAGGTCTAAAACCAGGACTAAACCAGGTCCAGGTCTAAACCAGAACTAAACCAGGTCTAAACCAGGACTAAACCAGGTCTAAACCAGGTCTAAACCAGGTCTAAACCAGGACTAAACCAGGTCTAAACCAGGTAAACCAGGAACTAAACCAGGTCTAAACCAGGTCTAAACCAGGACTAAACCAGGTCTAAACCAGGACTAAACCAGGTCTAAACCAGGACTAAACCAGGTCTAAACCAGGACTAAACCAGGACTAAACCAGGACTAATTATGTTAGAGTTAGACTTTTACTCGGGCTAAAGATAAAATGATTGAAACTGTGTCAAACCAAACCGGGTCTAAGCCCTGTGCTGTCATGATTATCCTGATGTAGGTGAAGTTTGGGCCTGTACTAGTCCTGGTTTAGTTCTGGTCTAGTCCTGGTTTAGTTCTGGTCTAGTCCAGGATTAGAATCTTGTTTAGTTCCAGTTTATTCCCAAATTTGATGCTTTAAACCCGAGAAAACAATCAAGGGACAAACCAATGACTCACCAGGACTAAACCAGGTCTAAACCAGGACTAAACCAGGTCTAAACCAGGTCTAAACCAGGACTAAACCAGGACTAAACCAGGTCTGAATCAGGTCCGGACCGAGACCCAAACCAGGTCTGAGTTTGAAGGACCGGGCCGTAGTCCTCGTGAGGAGAGCAGAGACCTGCACGTCTGCCGCTGTCACTGAGAGCCGCTTCAGGTCGTTCTGTCACCTCCAGCTGAGCACCAGGGCCCTCCACGCCACGGCCGCCCGCTCTGCCCCCGCCCACCTGCCCCCGCCCCCTGCCCCTGCCGACACCTGCCGCCCCTGTCGACCCCTGCCCCCGCCCCTGCCGAGCCTCAAGAGCCCCCGTCACACACACACCGAAGAAAAACTACATTCAAAGAGCCCAAATCACACACAGACCTGGAGTTGTGTTTCGTTTCATTCACGCAAGTTCAGTTAACGAGTTCCACCTTGTGATGTCACGCGGTGATAATACAGGAAGTGCTCCACTGTGTTTTTAAACTCCACACACCTTCACTAGAATCGCTCGGATCATTTCAGCCTCTGGACTCGCCGAACTTTTAGTAAACAAAAGGTAAAAGGAGCCGTTCACTTGAAAACTTCCACTTCCGCCTCATGACATCACAGGGTGGAACAGAGCGTTTTGAGCTTTGGAGATGTAGACAGACTCATAATAATAATAAAGAGTTACTCAAACGTGAATGAAACAAAACACAAAAAAACACAACTCCAGGTTTGTTTTTGAGGAGGAAACAACGTTAGAACTTTTGTCGTCTGAACATCTGAACGACTGAATTCATCCAGATGTTTATAAAAAATGTTTTGTGTTTGGTTTTGTACAGAAGCCGAGAGACAAACACAAATACAGCAGGACCCGGTCCAGCAGAAGTAAACAACAAGACCAAAAACTCAAGTGAATTCATCTGATATAAAAATGTATTGAACAGATACATATGTACTCGAGTTTATCAAACTGTTCACCTTTTTTCTGTTCCAGTTTTGGTTGTAAAGTTCCATCTGTTTTAAACAGACCATGAATGAAACATGGAACAAAAATTATTTCCCAAATTTCAAAGACCCAAAAATCATGTCAATAAATGTTTGTATTTCATCATATCTTGTGTTATTCCATCTTTGAACTGTTGATGAAGATACAGGATTTAAAAAAAATGTATTTAAAATGATAAAAATGTTCTTGGAAGGACTGACATATTTTATAGAAATAGTTTCTTTCATTTTGAAGTAATATTAAAGTTTTCAGAAGAAAAAAGCCACAAATGATGTAAAATCCTGCACCTTCTACTTGTTTGTACAATTTTCCCTCCGTTACTTTTCCCTCCGTTACCATGAACTTTCTTAATAAAAAATCTCATGAGTCAAAAAGTCAGAGGTTTTTCAACCTAATCTTGTACCATATGGTAGAAAACTATATGAAGCAAATATTCAAACCAGTTTGTTAAGGATATGTAAGTGAGAACCAAGTTATCACTGTTTGGATTTATTGTCCAAAAAGTGCTGCATATTTCATTCCCTCCGTTACCAACATGAGTTTTTTAAATGTTTTTGTCTTGAACTTGAAAGAATCTCACAGGTTTAACTTGACCCTGTTGGAGTGTAACTCTTTCCTACATTCTGATACTTTACTTATTTCAATAGTTCCTCTAGTTTCTGAATAAGAGACATTTGAATGTCAAAAATCTGACCCTGTTTCTTCCGTTACACCTTGACCGGACCCAAGTGCGACAACACAACAAAAAGCCACAACAGAAATGACCGCAGGATATTTTAATGCAAACGCCACAACACATTAAAAAGCCACAACAGAAGTGACTGCAGGACTCTATTTTCCAACAGACCGATCGAGCGGCGAGTGAAGAAGAAGAACTACAACGTGAAAAGTAAAGGAACGGAGAAGTTGGAAACGTAAGTAAAAGTCATTTATTGTTTTATCGTTATTCATTAATCAACATGACATTTGTTCTCAGTAAAAGTTCTATTTGATTTGAACGAGTTGAACTGTGTCTAGATACGAGGTAAAGTTTATATAATCTAAACCGAAACTAAACCAGGACTGGAACAGGACCAAACCCAAGCCTACATCAGGACTAAACCAGGCTCAAACCAGGACAAGCAGACGGCCTCCCTCTCCACAGCGTGATGTCATCAGGTGAAGAGCTCTCATGTCCACCGACCTCCTTCAGACTCAGCGCTAAAATAAACACAAATCAAAACAAGATGCAAAACCAAACTGTTGTGTTTAAAACGAGGAAATCTGGAAGGAAAAAGGAAAGAGAAAATATGAATCCTCCAAGGTTCCGGTGTTTGGGAGCAGATGTTTTTTAAAGGTCAAACGGTGTTGTCGTGGCAACGGTGCAAATTTCAGGTTCATTTTTGTAGCTCGCCATGAAACTTCGACGAGTGATAATTCGCACAAACTTTGATCGTTGCTGGACACCGCGACCCTGAACTGATTCATATAAGAACATCTCATGGAACACCAAAAATGTACTTTGTCATAGACGTATAAAATTTGGTACACACATTCATGACATGGTCTCGATCAAAAAAGTCAATGACGACCTCATGCTATTTCCCATCATGTTGCCGTGGTAACAGGCCAAACATCTACCTCGCCCGACAAAAACTTTGACGAAGCCAAACCAAATTTGGTACACAGATGCATCATGGGAATAGAAACAAAAAAGTATATTGTGACCACGCCCCCCCAAACCGGAAGTCCACCATCTTGGATTTGGAAAAAAAAAGTCAACACATACAGAAATTGAGAAAAAAGGTCGGGTTAGGGGAAAGTTCAGGGATAGGATTAGGTTCAGGTTTGGGTTTGGGTTGGGGCTAGAGTTAGGGCTAGGATTAAGGTTAGTCCTAGGGTTAGGGCTGCGGTCAGGAGTTCAGGTGAGGAGTTAGATCAAGGGGTAAGGTGCATTCGTGGGCACGACATGTGCAGGGCTCAGCGTGGCCGGGGTGCGGCGTAGGCTCGAGCGAGGGCCGATCATCGCCGCTTGCGGCTATATTTAATGTTGTTATTATTATGTATTTGTGCAGCACCTTGGAAACTGTTTGTTTGTAAAATGTGCGATAGAAATAAAGTGGACTGGATTGATGTGCCACTTTCCCCTTGAGCTGGAGCCTGGACGTTCAGACTGAAGTCACATGTCAAAAGATCAGATGTGTTTGGGTTTTAGGAGCACAGATCCAAGTGTCCTGGGTCACATTTGAAAAAAACTGATCTGTGTGGTTCAGACTGACATTAAAAGATCAGATACAGGAACATAAGGGTGAAACTTCAGGCTGCAGACTGAACGGAGATTAATAGTTCCCCTTTAAAATTATTATTTTTTTAAATTAACTAATTCAAATTTCAGATTCTAAAAAATAATGTCTCTTCTTCTTTCTGAAAACGATCATGTCCCAGTGACACGTTTAAAACTGTATTTCTTTAGATGTTCTTCTGGTTCAAAAGTCAAAGAGCCACAAATCCCAGAAAAAAACAACATTTTATTCCATTTTGATCCAAACCAAAAGGCACAGAATTCCATAAATAATCAACACACAGATCAATAAATTATGTTCATAAATACATCAGCAAACTCAGATGCCCTCCCAGCACCAGTCCAGTCCAGTCTGATCCTTCATTTCATTTCAGAACCCGGAGCTTCTACACGTCACAGAAGACACAAGAACTAGAAGAACAAACATCTACACGACGTGACGAGAATCTCTTTGGTGCAATTTAAGGCGGTGGTGAGTTCTGGTCCTGTCCAGCGTCCACAGTCGCTCCCGTCAGAAGATCCAGCGAGAGCAGAAGAACAGAGAGAGAGAGAAAGGCAGAAGAACAAGCTCCTCAGATGTTCTTCAAGAGCAGAGGTGAGGAGGAGCAGGTTCCTCCAGGCTCATTTATGCTCCACGATCTAGATACAAACAGATACACAAGGAGGCTCCTGTCTGGTCTCTGTGAGGTTCTGTGAGGTTCTGTGAGGTTCTGTGAACTGTGAAGGTTCTGTCTGTGTTTGTCTGTGTGCGTCTGTTGTAGGTTCTGTCTGAAAAATCAGTAAACTGTCAGATTCTGTCTCTGTGAACAAACACACAAGAAGAAAAGGATTTATATTTTTTGGAAGATGTTTTGGAGATCAGATCGTTTGGAGCGTCGAGTTTGGTCCCCGAGCCACAACTTAAATAAACTTTAAAACAAATAATTGTTTTTTTTTTCTAAAAAATGTGATCGGAAAACCGCCTCCATCAGAAACGTTTGGAATAAATTCAGTAACAATTTTAGCGTGTTTCTGCGTGAAAGTGGAGCATAAATGAGCCTTCGTCGGGTTCAACAGTCAGAAGGCACGAGGTCTTTTGGGTCCCGCGGTCAGAACGAGAAGAGGTCGAGAGCGGCGTGATCTTCAGACGTTCCTGAGATGTTCTTCGGAGCAGAACAATCAATCAAGAGGAGCAGTCGAGTTTTTCGGATGTTCCTCAGATGTTCCTCGGGTCCCACGGTCAACAGGAGGTGAGGTGGTTGTGGTGTGGCGTTCCCAGGGTCGGGCTCAGTGCTCCTTCAGCCTGCAAACAGAAGACGAGCGTGAGACGAGACACCACAGAAGGTCAGAAGATCGACGGCGGTGGCGGCGGCGGCGGCAGAGGCGGGTGCACTCACTGGACGGCGGTGATGGGTCTGGACTGACTGTAGCTCAGCTCTTTGGTGACCAGCCGGAGCAGCAGCTGTGAGGAACACCACAAAAACCACAAACAAGAGTTACCACGACGACCTGGTGCACCTCACAAGCTCTAAGGTTTGGCGTTCTCTCTGTCTTAAAGGCGCACTGTGTAACTTTTCTGATGCTTTCTGTTCATCTCCACAGAGGTTATTGCTTTGGTTGGAATGTTTCACAGTATTTTATTAAACTGAGTAGGGACGGGCATTCGATGAAATTTTCTTAATCGATCGTCGGAAGAATTAACGATGGATTATCGATTAATCATTAACATTTTTATATTAAAATGATCATCATTATTATTACTATCTGCACGACTAAACTGTGTCTCAGATCACATGGCCCTGACCTGTGGGGTGCCTCAGGGGTCAATCCTGGGCCCCCTGTTGTTCAATCTCTACATGCTGCCCCCTACAGACCAGTTAATAAGCAGCAATAACATGTCCTACCACAATTATGCAGACGACACTCAGATCTACGTCTCTCTGGCAGCAGGAGACTATGGACCAGTGGACTCACTTTGTCACTGCGTCCAACAGATCAGTGTGTGGAGGCAAAACAACTTTCTCCAGCTAAACTCTGACAAGACTGAAGTCATAGTGTTTGGTCCACAGAAACAAAGGGACAGTGTCAGCATCACCTCCAGTCTCTCTCTCTAAAACCTTCAAATCAGGCAAGAAATCTCGGGGTAATAATGGACTCAGACTTGAACTTTAACAGCCACATCAAATCAATAACATCTGCAGCCTTTTACCATCTAAAAAACATAGCGAAAATCAAAGGTTTACTGTCTAAATCAGACTTGGAGAAACTTATCCATGCATTTGTCTCCAGTAGGTTAGATACTGTAATGTTCTGCTCACTGGTCTCTCCAAACGAGCTGTGAGACGCTGCAGAACATCCAGAACATCCAGAACATCCAGAACATCCAGAACATCCAGAACAACATCCAGAACATCCAGAACATCCAGAACATCCAGAACATCCAGAACATCCACAACATCCAGAACATCCAGAACTGCAGCTCGGGTCCTGACTCGAAACTAGGAAGTACGAGCACATAAGTCCTGGTCTCAGGTCTCTGCTCTGGCTCCTGTGGCTCAGAGACTTTAAAGCAGCTCTGTTTGTACAAGTGTCTCCATGGCCGAGCACCAAAGTCCATCTGTGACATGTTAGTGTCATATGAACATCTCACACTCTGAGGAGCTCAGGGACCAACTCCTGCTGGTGCCCAGAGTCACGACTAAACAAGGGGAGTCAGAGTTTCAGGTTCATGCAGCTAAAACCTGGAACAGTCTGAACATGTGAGACAGACTCTTCTGTGACGCTGTTTAAATCCAGACTCTAAACATTTCTGTTTAACTGTGCAAATAACTGAAAGGTTTTCATTCCGCACTCTTCTCTCCAATTTATGTCTCTCTTTTTTCATTTTAATCTTCATGATTATTTATGTTTTGATTTGTTTTTATTATGATTTTAATGTATTTCTTATTCTGTAAAGCACTTTGAATGACTTTGTGTACGAATTGTGCTGTACAAATAAACTTGCCTTGACTAATCTGCATAAATAAATTCAACTTTACGACAAATAAACCGTAACGACTCTAGAGCCACATCAGCTGTTTGACATTATAATGTGTTTAATTCAGTTTTGTTCAAATCTCACAGAAACAAAACTTAAAACCACATCACTAATTTACATAAACTAAGTGAAGATAAAACTCCAGCTCTTGTGTCGCTGATGTGGTTCAACTTGTGTTGGATTAAAAGACATGACTCAGGTGAATACAGGTCAGTGTGACCAGATTTGTGTTTGTCAAAACCAGGACAGCGTACGGGGGGAGGGGGGCGGGGCCTCGTCATCCACATTGAGCGACTCTCACCTGGAAAAACTTTTTCCCACTGGACACAGAAACATATGTGCTGCTTTATCCACTGTGCACATGGACTCACACTTGTCCCAACGCAACGGAAAGTGTGGAATTTCTTGTCCAAATCCTGGTTAAATCCACATTTGTGCTTCGGTTCGTTACAGACTGACCCACTGTTTGTGTCTCGCTCCTTCGTAATCGATGAAATTCTTAATGATCAATTATCGATTAGTCGATTAATCATGCCCATCCCTAATCGTGACCCTTGTGGATCAAATTTAAATTTAAGTCAGAAAAGGCTAATGCTTCAGTGAGGTTCTCCTGACCCTGAAGCTGACAACATCTGCTCCTGACAGGTCGCCCAGTGTCTCAAAGAACGGCTCAAAATAGAATTATGACAAAAAAAACAGCAGCGATTCATCTCCATTTTCACTTTCACGTCTCGGCTTTAAGTCAAACCATCGAGAACCTTCTGAAGACACTGACCAGGAGAGCCAAGAAGTCTGCAGTCATGAGCATGTAGAAGACCTGGTCCCATCCTCCTGTAGAGAGCAGACCGGCCAGCAGGGGGCCCAGCGCGGCGCCTGGACACAGAAGAACAACAAGAAGAGGTTTAAGAAAGGACGCGGAGCAGTTCTCTTTCCTCGCTTCCTTCTCCATAATTCTTCTCCTCCATCCTTTATTGAAGGAGTAAACCTGAGGAGGAATCGAAAAGAAGGAAAGAATCGAGGAGAAGAAATAGAGGAGAAGGAAGCGAGGAGAAACAATCAGAACAAGGAAAAGGAAGAAAGAAGAAGAGGAAGAAGGAAGCGAAAGGAAGAAGGAAGCGAGGAGAAGGAAGCGAGGAGAAGGACAAGGAAGCAAGGAGACGGAATCAAGGAGAAGGAAGCGAGGAGAAGGAAGCGAGGAGAAAAGGAAGCGAGGAGAAGGACAAGGAAGCGAGGAGACGGAATCAAGGAGAAGGAAGCGAGGAGAAGGAAGCAAGGAGAAGGAATCAAAGAGAAGGAATCGAGGAGAAGGAAGCGAGGGGAAGGAAGCGAGGGGAAGGAAGCGAGGGGAAGGAAGTGAGGAGAAGGAATCGAGGGGAAGGAAGCGAGGAAAAGGATGCGAGGAGAAGGAAGCGAGGAGAAGGAACTGAGGAGAAGGAAGCGAGGAGAAGGATGCGAGGAGAAGGAAGCGAGGAGAAGGATGCGAGGAGAAGGAAGCGAGGAGAAGGAAGGAGAAGGAAGCGAGGAGAAGGAAGTGAGGAGAAGGAAGAGGAGAAGGAAGCGAGGAGAAGGAAGCGAGGAGAAGGAAGCGAGGAGAAAGGTCTGAACCAGAACTGAACCAGGACTAAACCAGGTGCCTGAACATCGCCCCCTGGAGGCACCAGAGTGAACTTTCGGACTCATCTGCTGCCGTGGCGACACAGGAAGTCAAAGTATAAACTGCCAAAATAAAAGCACCATAATAAATAAGTATTTTATTGCGTTGAGTTTTTGTCCTCACCCACAGATCCTGTCCCGTCGATGATCGCAGTGACCGTGGACAGAGCCCTGGAGTTCCCCTTCAGACTCTTGTGTGTGCCCTGCAAAACACAGAGGTCCAGGTCCAAAACCAGGTCTAAACCAGGTCTAAACCAGGTCTAAACCAGGTCTAAACCAGGTCTAAAACCAGGTCTAAAACCAGGTCTAAACCAGGTCTAAACCAGGTCTAAACCAGGTCTAAACCAGGTCTAAACCAGTCTAAAACCAGGTCTAAAACCAGGTCTAAACCAGGTCTAAACCAGGTCTAAACCAGGTCTAAACCAGGTCTAACCAGGTCTAAACCAGGTCTAAACCAGGTCTAAACCAGGTCTAAACCAGGTCTAAAAGGTCCAGGTCTAAACCAGGTCTAAACCAGGTCTAAAACCAGGTCTAAACCAGGTCTAAAACCAGGTCTAAACCAGGTCTAAACCAGGTCTAAACCAGGTCTAAACCAGGTCTAAACCAGGTCTAAACCAGGTCTAAACCAGGTCTAAACCAGGTCTAAACCAGGTCTAAACCAGGTCTAAACCAGGTCTAAACCAGGTCTAAACCAGGTCTAAAACCAGGTCTAAACCAGGTCTAAACCAGGTCTAAACCAGGTCTAAACCAGGTCTAAACCACCAGGTCTAAACCAGGTCCAGGTCTAAACCAGGTCTAAACCAGGTCTAAACCAGGTCTAAACCAGGTCTAAACCAGGTCTAAACCAGGTCTAAACCAGGTCTAAACCAGGTCTAAACCAGGTCTAAACCAGGTCTAAACCAGGTCTAAACCAGGTCTAAACCAGGTCTAAACCAGGTCTAACAGGTCTAAACCAAAAACCAGGTCTAAACCAGGTCTAAACCAGGTCTAAACCAGGTCTAAACCAGGTCTAAAACCAGGTCTAAAACCAGGTCTAAACCAGGTCTAAACCAGGTCTAAAACCAGGTCTAAAACCAGGTCTAAAACCAGGTCTAAACCAGGTCTAAACCAGGTCTAAACCAGGTCTAAAACCAGGTCTAAACCAAAAAACCAGGTCTAAACCAGGTCTAAACCAGGTCTAAACCAGGTCTAAACCAGGTCTAAACCAGGTCTAAACCAGGTCAAAACCAGGTCTAAACCAGGTCTAAACCAGGTCTAAACCAGGTCTAAACCAGGTCTAAACCAGGTCTAAACCAGGTCTAAAACCAGGTCTAAACCAGGTCTAAACCAGGTCTAAACCAGGTCCAGGTCTAAAAGGTCCAGGTCTAAAACCAGGTCTAAAACCAGGTCTAAACCAAAAACCAGGTCCAAAACCAGGTCTAAACCAGGTCTAAACCAGGTCTAAACCAGGTCTAAAACCAGGTCTAAACCAGGTCTAAACCAGGTCTAAAACCAGGTCTAAACCAGGTCTAAACCAGGTCTAAACCAGGTCTAAACCAGGTCTAAACCAGGTCTAAAACCAGGTCTAAAACCAGGTCTAAACCAGGTCTAAAACCAGGTCTAAAACCAGGTCTAAAACCAGGTCTAAAACCAGGTCTAAAACCAGGTCTAAACCAGGTCTAAACCAGGTCTAAACCAGGTCTAAACCACCAGGTCTAAACCACCAGGTCTAAAACCAGGTCTAAACCAGGTCTAAACCAGGTCTAAACCAGGTCTAAACCAGGTCTAAACCACCAGGTCTAAACCAGGTCTAAACCAGGTCTAAAACCAAGTCTAAACCAGGTCTAAAACCAGTCTAAAACCAAAACCAGGTCTAAAACCAGGTCTAAACCAGGTCTAAACCAGGTCTAAACCAGGACTAAACCAGGACTAAACCAGGACTAAATCCAGGTCTAAAACCAGGTCTAAAACCAGGTCTATACCAGGTCTGAAACCAAGTCTAAAACCAGGACTAAACCAGGTCTAAACCCAGGTCTGGACCAGGACTAAACCAGGTCTAAAACCAGGTCTAAACCAGGTCTAAACCAGGTCTAAACCAGGACTAAACCAGGACTAAACCAGGTGATACGTACCAGATCTGCGGAAACGGCCGTCGTGATGAGAGCGTACGGCCCGTTCACCAAACCCCCACACACCAACAGCATCCCTACAACAGAACCAGAACCAGAACTGAACCAGGTCTGAACCAGGACTGAACCAGGTCTGAACCAGGACTGAACCAGGTCTGAACCAGGTCTGAACCAGGTGAACTGAACCAGGACTGAACCAGGTCTGAACCAGGGTCTGAACCAGGACTGAACCGGGTCTGAACCAGGTCTGAACCAGGTCTGAACTGAACCAGGAAACTGAACCAGGGAACCAGGACTGAACCAGGACTGAACCAGGTCTGAACCAGGACTGAACCAGGTGAACCAGGTCTGAACCAGGTCTGAACCAGGACTGAACCAGGTCTGAACCAGGTCTGAACCAGGTCTGAACCAGGTCTGAACCAGGTGAACCAGGTCTGAACCAGGTCTGAACCAGGACTCTGAACCAGGACTGAACCAGGACTGAACCAGGACTGAACCAGGACTGACCAGGTGAACCAGGTCTGAACCAGGACTGAACCAGGGTCTGAACCAGGACTGAACTGAACCGGGTCTGAACCAGGACTGAACCAGGACTGAACCAGGAACCAACCGGGTCTGAACCAGGTGTAAACCAGGTCTAACCAATTAATATTGCAGGACAAAAATTAATGCCACACTATGAAACATTTGACACACACTCGTAGCATCTCTATGGGAACAGAAGGGAAGGAGAAGTTCCATAGTGCAGCTTTAAGGACTTAAATGGGTCTAAAATGGGGATTCTACTTTCAGGTCTAAAACCAGGTCCAGGACTAAACCAAACTACCTCTGGACTGAACCATGTGTGTGGGTCTACACAGGGACTAAACCAGGACTAAACCAGGTCTAAACCAGGTCTAAACCAGGTCTAAACCAGGTCTAAACCAGGTCTAAACCAGGACTAATCCAGGACTGAACCAGGACTAATCCAGGACTAATCCAGGACTAAACCAGGACTAATCCAGGACTAATCCAGGACTAACCAGGACTAAACCAGGTCTAAACCAGGACTAAACCAGGACTAATCCAGGACTGAACCAGGACTAATCCAGGACTAAACCAGGACTAAACCAGGTCTAAACCAGGTCTAAACCAGGTCTAAACCAGGTCTAAACCAGGTCTAAAGTCTTGCACCAGTAAACTTCACGTACCAGACTTTGGAGCGGCTGTTGAGGCGTTAGAAACAACAAAGACAATTAAGACTCAGAGGTTGGTGGTTCAATCCCCACTCGGCCTACAGTTGTTGTGTCCTTGGGCAAGACACTTCCTGTGTTTGATTTTGAACCCTCCTGAGAACTCAGTTATTTTATTTAATGACTGAACCTGAATATATTTTTACCTCTAAATAAAGTCCTAAAAAAAAGGGATGAAAAACACAAATAGGACACGAAGTGGACACAAGGGAAAGACACAAAGGAAGGACACAGATGTAGGACACAGAATTAGGACACAGAGGCAGGACACAAAGAGGAAGGACACAGAGGTAGGACACAACGGTAGGACACAGAGGCAGGACACAAAGGAAGGACACAGAGGTAGGACACAACGGTAGGACACAGAGGCAGGACACAAAGGAAGGACACAGAGGTAGGACACAGATGTAGGATACAAAGGAAGGACACAGAGGTAGGATACAAAGGAAGGACACAGAGGTAGGACACAACGGTAGGACACAGATGTAGGATACAAAGGAAGGACACAGAGGTAGGATACAAAGGAAGGACACAGAGGTACAGGGTAGGACAAAGGAAGGACAGAGGTAGGACACAACGGTAGAACACAAAGGAAGGACACGAAGGTAGGACACAAACGTAGGACACAATGGTAGGACACAGACGTAGGACACAAAGGTAGGACACAGAAGTAGGGCACAGAAGTAGGACACAAAGGAATGACACAAAAGTAGGAAACAAAGGAAGGACACAAAGGAAGGACACAGAGGTAGGACACAGAGGCAGGACACAAAGGAAGGACACAGAGGTAGGACACAGATGTAGGATACAAAGGAAGGACACAGATGTAGGATACAAAGGAAGGACACAGAGGTAGGATACAAAGGAAGGACACAGAGATAGGACACAACGGTAGGACACAGATGTAGGATACAAAGGAAGGACACAGAGGTAGGATACAAAGAAGGACACAGAGGTAGGACACAGAGGTAGGATACAAAGGAAGGACACAGAGGTAAGACAACGGTAGAACACAAAGGAAGGACACGAAGGTAGGACACAAACGTAGGACACAATGGTAGGACACAGACGTAGGACACAAAGGTAGGACACAGAAGTATGACACAAAAGTAGGAAACAAAGGAAGGACACAAAGGAAGGACACAGAGGTAGGACACAGAGGCAGGACACAAAGGAAGGACACAGAGGTAGGATACAAAGGAAGGACACAGAGGTAGGATACAAAGGAAGGACACAGAGGTAGGATACAAAGGAAGGACACAGAGGTAAGACACAACGGTAGAACACAAAGGAAGGTCACGAAGGTAGGACACAATGGTAGGACACAGACGTAGGACACAAAGGTAGGACACAGAAGTAGGGCACAGAAGTAGGACACAAAGGAATGACACAAAAGTAGGAAACAAAGGAAGGACACAAAGGAAGAACACAAAGGTAGGACATGAATAGGACACAAAGGAAAGACAAAAAGAAAAACACAAAGGAAGGACACAAAGGAAGGACAGAGTTTTAAGTCTGTAGGAAAATTAATATAAGTCAATGGAAAGTCCTTAAAAATGTGTGTGTGTGTGTGTGTGTGTGTGTGTGTGAGTTGTGTGTTTGTGTGTGTGTGTGTGTGTGTGAGTTGTGTGTTTGTGTGTGTGTGTCTCACCTATAGTCGGGCCCATTCCAAACTGACTGATCATGGAAAAGCCGTAGAGCTGCACAAAAACACACAACATTAAAAACACGCCACAACAACAAACACACAACATGAAAACATCACAACAACAAACACACAACACGAAAACATCACAACAACAAACACACAACACGAAAACATCACAACAACAAACACACAACATGAAAACATCACAACAACAACACACAACACGAAAACATCACAACAACAAACACACAACACGAAAACATCACAACAACAAACACACAACACGAAACATCACAACAACAAACACACAACAAACACACACACAAAAATCAACACAACACAACACACATCAACAACAAAACACACAACATGAAAACATCACAACAACAAACACACAACAACAAACACACAACATGAAAACATCACAACAACAAACACACAACATGAAAACATCACAACAACAAACACACAACATGAAAACATCACAACAACAAACACACAACACGAAAACATCACAACAACAAACACACAACATGAAAACATCACAACAACAAACACACAACGTGAAGGTGTGTGGAGTTTAAAAACACAGTGGAGCACTTGCTTTATTATTACCACCTGATGACATCACAAGGTGGAACAGAGTTTTTTTTTTTTTTTTTTTTATTTGAGAGAAGAACTCAGCCTAAATGTGCAGGGTTTGTGTTAAACATGTGTGAAGGAAACAAAAAAACGCAACTTTTTATTTATTTTATTTTAGTTATTTTACTTATTTATTTCTATTTTATTATATTTTATTTTGCTTTTATTGTTTTAGGACTGGTGTGATTTTCTGATCTCTGTGCTGCACTTCGCTCTAGAAATAAAATTGATTTGAGAAACTCCAGGTGTGTTTGTGACGAGGAAACGACATCAGAACAAATCAGAAAATAACGTAATAAAATCCTCTAATTAATGAAAAATTTGACTATTTATTAGATTTTTTGTTTTTATTTGACTTAAACTAGTGACCTAAGATATAGTTAACAATGAAAATATAGGAAATCCTTAAAAGACAAATCATAATTTATAGTAAAAAAGATTATTATTTTTTTTAATATATAAATTAAGAAAAAAAAAGAAAGAAGGGGGAAACAAAAAGAAAATGTCTTTAAAATTCTGCTTTAAGATTGTAGTAAAAAATCAAATATAATGAAAGGAAATGATGATTGTGAAAGTATTATTTGTTTGAGGGGCATGATTTTTTTTTTTCCTGAAACTGAAACTAAAAAGCTTGATTTCTAATTATTTGGTTGAATCCTGTAGAACAGCTCTGTGCCTCCCTCTGCTGGACACTCGGGGGTACGACACTCACAGTGGGAGCGGCCAGCAGCAGCATCACGGCGCACGTCGTCGCCCTTTTGTCCAGTTTGTCGGAGATCACCCCGGCCAGGACGCCCCCTGAGGACACAGGACGGGTCACCCACACGACTACAAACAGTTTTACTCGAAATTTTTGCTGAAATTAAACGAAAACTAAAGAAAAAAGTCTAAAAAAATTACTGAAAAAAGGACGAAACTAACACATTTTTCTACTAGATTTGAGATTTATTTTTTAAAAAGGCATTGTGTAACTTTTCTGGTGGAAAGTTTGTCAAATGCTTGTCTCCTCGCTTCCTTCTCCTCGCTTCCTTCCTCCTTTCCCTCTCCTCGCTTCCTTCTCCTCGCTTCCTTCCTCGATTCCTTCTCCTCGCTTCCTTCTCCTCGCTTCCTTCTCCTCGCTTCCTTCTCCTCACTTCCTTGTCTTTGATTTTTTTCTACTTCTCCTCGCTGCCTTCTCCTCGCTTCCTTCTCCTCACTTCCTTCTCCTCGCTTCCTTCTCCTCGCTTCCTTCTCCTCGCTTCCTTCCCCTCGCTTCCTTCCCCTCGCCTCCTTCCCCTCGCTTCCTTCTTCTCGACCGTTATTGCTTGCCAAACCAGTTACAGGTCAGATCTGTGGAGAGGCGACCCCGCTCACAGTCAGAATGTGTGTTTTTCTATTTTTTTTTTTTTTTTTTTTTTTGAGCTCTAAAACCTGCACCTGTGATCGAATAAATGTAAAGTAGAGCTGTTTAAAGTCACACTCTGGAACATTCCAGGCAGAGCAATGACGTCTCCATAGAAACAAGCAGGTGATGAAACCAGAAAAGTTACACAATGAAGCTTTAAAGAACAATCGTCATGCTTATTATTATTATTCTCGTCTTATTGTGACTCTGGTCGTACCGATGATTCCTCCGACGTCAAACAGCGTGGACAAGTCTCCTGCTCTCTTAGCGTCCAGGTGAGCTGCAGGACACAGGACACGGTCAAAGTAAGGACACATAGGAAGGACACGAAGGAAGGACACGAAGGAAGGACACGAAGGAAGGACACGAAGGAAGGACACGAAGGAAGGACACAAAGGAAGGACACAAAGGAAAGGACACGAAGGAAGGACACGAAGAGGACACGAAGGAAGGACACAAAAGAAGGACACGAAGGAAGGACACAAAGGAAGGACACGATGAAGACACGAAGGAAGGATACGAAGGAAGGACACGAGTAGAACACAAAGAGGACACAAAGGAAGGACACAAAAGAAGGACACAAAGGAAGGACACAAAAGAAGGACACAAAGGAAGGACATGAAGAGGACACAAAGAAGGAAGGACACAAAAGAAGGACACAAAGGAAGGACACGAAGAGGACACGAAGGAAGGACACAAAGGAAGGACACGATGAGGACACGAAGGAAGGATACGAAGGAAGGACACGAGTAGAACACAAAGAGGACACGAAGGAAGGACACGACGGTAGGACACTATGGTAGGACACAAAGAGGACACAAAGGAAGGGCGCAAAGGTAGGACACGAAGCTAGGACACAAAGGAGGGCACAAATAGGTCACAAAGAAGACATGAATAGGAGTGGAAGGAAGGATGCAAAGAAAGGACACAAAGGTAGGAGACAAATGAACGACACAAAGGTAGGAGACAAATGAAGGACACAAAGGTAGGAGACAAATGAAGGACACAAAGGTAGGAGACAAATGAAGGACACAAAAAGAACACAAAGAGTACACAAAAAAGACCCGAAAGTAGGACACAAAAGGTAGGACACGGAGGAAGAACACAAAGGAAGAACAGAAAGTAAGGACACAAAGGTAGGACACGAATAGGTCACAAACAGGAAACAAAGGCAGGACAGAATAGAAGGACACAAAGGTAGGGCACAAAAAGGACACGAAAGAAGAACAGAAAGAAAGGACACAAATAGGACACGAAGGAAAGACATGAAGGTAGGACACATAGATGAGGCATAAATAGGGCACAAACAGTACACAAAAAAGACTTGAAAGTAGGACACAAAGGTAGGACACAAAGGAAGAACACAAAGGAAGAACACAAATAGGACATGAATGAAGGACACAAAGGAAGGTAACAAAGAGGATGCACAGAGGACACAAAGGAAGGAAACAAAAGTAGGACACAGAGGTAGGACATCAGAGACACTCAGAGGACAGAGGACACAGAGACGTCCGGGGTCTGACCTGCTTTGGTCATGTAGAGCGGCAGCCAGAACAGGAACGTGTAACTGACGAGTTTGGCAAAAAGCAAACAGAGAGAAAACTCCACCACACCCTGAAAAAAACACACAACAAACCAGGACTGAACCAGGACTGAACCAGGACTGAACCAGGACCAGGACTGAAACCAGAACCAGGACTAAACCAGACTAAAGGACTAAACCAGGACTAACCAGAACCAGGACTAACTAACTAGGACTAAACCAGGGACTAAACTAGGAAAGGACTAAACTGGACTAAACCAGGACTAAAAGAAAGACTAAACAGGACTGAACAGGACTAAACCAGGACTAAACCAGGACTAAACCAGACTAACCAGGACTAAAGAACCAGACTAAACTAGGACTAAACTAGGACTAAACCAGGACTAAACCAGTCTGAACCAGGACTAAACCAGGACTAAACCAGGACTAAACCAGGACTAACCAGGACTGAAAGCAGGACTGAACCAGGACTGAAGGACCCAGGACCAGGACTGAACCAGGACTGAACCAGGCATCTCTGGACGGGGCTTGTTTACCTTGCACCTGTGGGGGTGGGGCTTGTTTCTGTGGGCGTGGCTTGTTTACCGATGCACCTGTGTGGGTGGGGCTTGTTACCGGTGCACCGTGTGTGGGCGTGGCTTGTTTACCGGTGCACCTGTGTGGGCGTGGCTTGTTTACCGGTGCACCTGTGTGGGCGTGGCTTGTTTTTGTGTGGGCGGGGCTTGTTTCTGTGTGGGCGGGGCTTGTTTCTGTGTGTGGGCGGGGTTTGTTTCTGGGTGTGGGCGGGTCTTGTTTGGGTGTGGGGCTGGGGTGGGCGGGGCTTGTTTCTGGGTGTGGCGGGGCTTGTTTCTATGGGCGGGTCTTGTTTCTGGGGTGGACGGGGCTTGTTTCTATGTGTGGGAGGGGCTTGTTTCTATGGGCGGGTCTTGTTTCTATGTGTGGGAGGGTCTTGTTTCTATGTGTGGGGGGTCTTGTTTCTGTGTGGGCGGGGCTTGTTTCTGGGTATGGGCGGGGCTTGTTTCTGGTGTGGGCGGGGCCTGTTTCTATGTGTGGGCGGGGCCTGTTTCTGTGTGTGGGCGGGGCTTGTTTCTGAGTATGGGCGGGCGGTGTGGCGGGGCTGTGTTCTGTGTGTGGGCGGGGCTTGTTTCTGTGTGTGGGCGGGTCTTGTTTCTGTGTGTGGCGGGTCTTGTTTCTGTGTGTGTGGGCTGTTTCTTGTTTCTTGTGTGTGTGTGGGCGGGTCTTGTTTGTGGGTGTGGGCGGGTCTTGTTTCTGTGTGTGTTTTTGTGGGCGGGTTTTTTTCGTTTTACCGGTATGCGCAGCGCTCCCATGAAGCTGATGGCGGAGGGCTCCGATTGGCTCTTGACGACCACCACGGGCTGCACCTGGATGCACTCGCTGTCCCGCGGCAGCAGCAGCTCCGTGTCGTAGCTCTGTCACACACACACACACACAGGGTCAGAGGTCAAAGGTCACGCGGCGAGAAACCAAAAAACGCTCCCCTCCACAGGTAGCAGGTGTACAGTGCACGCCGTCAACACAAACTAACTTCTAAACACTAGTTGAGTATTATTTTGAACATTATTTTGAATGAGTGAGGAGTTCCAGTTTGAACGGCGGGCACTGCACAAAAGCACAAAGCCGGCGTCGATTTGTGATTATCCGAAGACGAGCTCCGCCTCCTGGAGTATAATCAAACATGAGAGTTAGAGGTTAACAGGAGCAAGAGTTTCCACCATCCCCGGTCCCAAAAACAAAACAAACACGCCCAGATCTGCCTCATCCCTCCTGAAAAGAGCTGCACCATTTTACGAGAAAACGTCAAAATGAGATTCTAGTTTTGGAGTCACGTTTATGTTTTCAGTTCAGGTTTAAAGGAGCCGTACGTGTCGGGTTTAGGGGGAGAACGTTCAAGATCAGAGACACGTTTTAGGTTTAAACTCTGGATTTCAGCATCGAATCGTCTTGAACCAAAACACCAAATTAGAACAGAAATAAATGACGTGATGTTTAATGTTTTTGTGATTCAGCGTCACGTTTGTTTTCAGTTTGTGTTTGATTTGAGTTTATCTCGTCTCTGAGACACAGAAACACGACATGTTTATGGAATTTAAAATCTAAATGGTTCTAGTTCTAAACCAGGTCTAAACCAGGACTAAACCAAGATTAAAACTAGGTTGAAACCAGGTCAACACCAGTTCTGAACCAGGTTTGAACCCAACCTGAACCAGGTCTAAATCAGAGCTGAACCAGGACCAAATCAGGACTAAACCAAGTCTGACCCAGGACTAAACCAAGACTAAACCAGGTCTAAACCAGGTCTGAATCAGGTCTAAATCAAGTCTAAACCAAGACTAAACTAGGACTAAAACCAGGTCTAAACCAGGACTAAACCAGGACCAGGACTAAACCAGGACTAAAACCAAGTCTAAACCAAGTCTAAACCAGGACTAAACTAGGACTAAAACCAGGTCCAAACAAGGTCTAAAGTCTAAATTAGGTCTAAACCAGGTCTAAACCAGGTTTGAATCCAACCTGAACTAGGTCTATACCACAGCTGAACCAGGGCTGAACCAAGTCTCGTCCAAACCAGGACTAAACTAGGACTAAAACCAGGTGTAAACCAGGTCTAAACCAAGTGTAAACCAGGTCTAAACCAGGACTAAACTAGGACTAAAACCAGGTCTAAACCAGGACTAAAACCAGGTCTAAACCAGAACTGAACCAGGACTAAACCAGAACTAAGGGAAGGGTTAGCATTAAAACTCCACTGTGTAACTTTTCAGCTTTGCCGCTCCGTCACCTGCTCGTTTCTATGGCAACGTCACTCTTTTGTCCAGAATGTTCCACAGTGTGACTTTAAACATTTATTCAATTCCAGGTGTTTTTTTTGTGTGTTTTTTTTTCACTCAAAAACACTTGGAAAAACACCAGATCTGACCTGTAACTGCGTCTGGTTTGGTCTCCACGGAGATAGAAAGCTTTAAAGCCACACTGCGGAACATTCCAGACAAAGCAATAACATGTCCATGGAGAAAAGTTACACAATGCAGCTTTAACATTTGATAGAAGCCTGAAATCTGAGCAGGTAAACAAAACCCGAGGACGTCATGAATTTTAGAACAGTTTGTAAAAATTTGAGCTACGGCGACGGTTCTTATCTGTAAAAAGACGAGAGGTTTTGTTTTTTTATCTTAAATTATCAAAATAACCGCAGAATTTTGAGATAAAGTGAAGTTATGTTTCCGTTTTATGGTGCAGCCCTTTTCCAGACGTCAGCAGGAACTCATAGAACTGAGGTTATGTTTATTAACTTTAGGTTTCGTTTTCGTTTCCAACACGTAAACAAAACGTTATTTTTAGTAAACAAACAAAATGGCGGACTCGCACACAGAGCTGCGTTTGAAAGAGGATATCGCAGGTTTTCAGGTTTGGTGGAAAAGTACGTGTGGTGAATATTTATCGGAGTTTTACGTCAGTTCAAGTGGAAGTTTGTGGGAAAACATTCGGAAAAAAATAAAAATAAAAATACAAAAATACAAGAAGTAGAGGTGAATTCTCAAAAGAAAACTCCAAAATACAGACGCACAAGGAAGGACGTATGGAAGGACACGAAGGAAGGACACACAGGAAGGAAGGACAGACAAAGGAAGGAAGGACAGACAAAGAAAGGAAGGACACAAAAAATGGAAGGACACAGGAAGGACGGACATTCGAAGGAAACAAAGGTAGGACACAAAGGTAGAACACGAAGGTAGGACACAAAGGTAGAACACGAAGGTAGGACACAAAGGTAGAACACGAAGGTAGGACACAAAGGTAGAACACGAAGGTAGGACACAAAGGTAGAACACGAAGGTAGAACACAAAGGTAGAACACGAAGGAAGGACATAATGGATAAAAGGACACACAAAGGTAGGATACAGGAAGGAAGGCCACGGGAAGGAAACAAAGATAGGACACGAAGGTAGGACATAAAAGAAAGACAGAAAGGAACGACACAAAGGTAGGACACAAAAGTAAGACACAAAGGAAGAATGTGAAGGAAGGACAAAAAGGAAGACCAAGAAGGAAGGACATGAAGGTAGCAGAGAGATAGGACAAATAGGACACAAAGGAAGACCATGAAGGAAGCACACGAAGGAAGGACACTAAGGAAGGACACAAAGGTAGGACATAAAGGAAGAAAACAAAGGAAGGACACAGGAAGGAAGGACATAGGAGGGAAACAAAGGTAGGACACGAAGGTATGACAAGAAGGAAGAACATGAAGGAAGGACACGAAGATAAGGCACGAAGGTAGGAGGCGAATAGGACACAGAGATAGGACACAAAGAATGGACACAGAAAGGAAGGACACAAAAAAAGGACACAAAGGTAGGGCACGAAGGAAGGACACAAACGAAGGACATCAAGAAAGGAAACGAATAGGCCAAAAAGGTAGGACACAAGGGTAGGACATGAAGATAGGACCCGAAAGAAGGACACAAAGGTAGGACAGGAAGAAAGGACACAATGGAAGGACATGAAGGAAGGACACAAAGGACTTTACTCATTAAGTACATTTTTAAACAGGTACTTTAAAACCTTAACTTAAGTAGATTTTCCACGTGATACATTTACCACTTTTACTTTATTTTTTTCTCTAGTATTTGTACTTTTACTTCACTAAACTGCAGTACTTGTTCCACCTCTGACCTGAAGCCCGTTTAGGACCAAAGTCGTGTTGGTCTGGAGCAGCGTTTGTGTGCGAGTCCATCCTCAGGAGGAACCAGAGACGGAGATGGTTTTCAAAACATCTGCCCTGCGAAACGAAGAGAGAATCTAGAGAAGAACCAGGCTCGTCCCCAACACCTGAGGTCCTCCCCGCACCGCCAGCTCAGTCCAGAACGACGCACTTTAAACGACACGTACGGACGCAAAAAACCTGAGAACGCACACGACCCGTCAAAAGTCTGGACACGCTTCAGTTTATATTATTTCCAGGATTATTTACACTGGAGATTCTCTCTATTGTCAGAGGTATAATACTCCCTACAGAGTCTAGAGGGTTGTGTCTGTACTGTCAGAGGTATAATACTCCCTACAGTGTCCTGAGGGTCGTGTCTCTGTGCTGGGTCTGTGCTGTCGAAGGTATAATACTCCCTACAGTGTCCGGCAGATCGTGTCTTTGTGCTGGGTCTGTGCTGTCGGAGGTATAATACTCCCTACAGTGTCCGGCAGATCATGTCTTTGTGCTGGGTCTGTGCTGTCAGAGGTATAATACTCCCTACAGTGTCCGGCAGATCATGTCTTTGTGCTGGGTCTGTACTGTCAGAGGTATAATACTCCCTACAGCGTCCTGAGGGTCACTGTCAGAGGTATAATACTCCCTACAGAGTCCTGAGGGTCTGTACTGTCAGAGGTATAATACTCCCTACAGTGTCCTGAGGGTCGTTTCTCTGTACTGTCAGAGGTATAATACTCCCTACAGTGTCCTGAGGGTCATGTCTCTGTGCTGGGACTGTGCTGTCACGGGTATAATACTCCCTACAGCGTCCTGAGGGTCATGTCTCTGTACTGTCAGGGGTATAATACTCCCTACAGTGTCGTGAGTCTGTGCTGGGTCTGTACTGTCAGAGGTATAATACTCCCTACAGTGTCCTGAGGGTCGTGTCTCTGTACTGTCAGGGGTATAATACTCCCTACAGTGTCCTGAGGGTCGTGTCTCTGTTTATTTACATCAGCACAGACCCAGCACAAACTCCAGCCTTGTGTCTTTTTCCCTTTAACTCTTGAACAGTGACTCCGCTCTGGCTATGCTTCAGTTGTAGGGAGTATTATATAAGGTAACAAGACCTGCGCTGGCAGAGAATGAAGATGTGTCCAAACTTTTACCTGGTATTCGTAAACGCTCGAACGAAGGACGGGGCCATATGACAAAAAATAAATAACACCGCAATTCTGAAAAAGCCAGATTTCGATTGCGTCATGATTTGAGAGACCACGCTTCGCTGTGATTGGTTAAACCCACCTGTCAATCACTCAGAGCATGACAGAGGCCGGCCAATAGGAAGAAAGCTGCATTAAAGGGCCCATATTACGCTACTTCTGGTCTGTTCTAATGTTGTTTCCTCATCACAAACCGATCAGTTCCACCTTGTGATGTCATAATACTGCAAGGGCTCCACTGTGTTTTTAAACTCCACACACCTTCACTAGAATCATTTGGATCATTTCAGTGTCTGGAATTTCCAATCTCTACTGAACTGAAAGTAAAAGGAGCTGTTCGCTTGAAAACTACCACTTCATGACATCACAAGGTGCAACATGAAGAACACAGAGGAAGGACACGAAGGTAAGACGCATAGGAAGGACATGAAGGAAGGACACGAAGGAAGGACACAAACGAAGGACTCGAAGGAAAAACACAAAGGTAGAACACAAGGGTAGGACACAAAAGTAGGACACAAAGGAAGGACACGAAGGAAAGACAGAAAGAAAGGACAGGAAGGAAAGGCACAAAGGAAGGAGATGAATAGAACATGAAGGAAGGACACGAAGGCACGACACAAATAGGAGACAAAGGAAGGACGCAGAGGTAGGACATGAAGGTAGGACACAACGGTTTGAAATGAATTGGACACAAAGGAAGGACACAACGGAAAGACACGAAGGAAAGACACAAAGGAAGGACACGAAGGTAGGACACAAAGGAAGGACACAAAGGATGGATGCGGAGGTAAGACACGAATTTAGGACACAAAGGTAGGAAACAAAGGAAAGACACAAAGGAAGGGCACAAAAGTAGGACACAAATGAAAGACACGAAGGAAGGACACAAAGGTAGGACACGAATGGGACAAAAGGGTAGGAAACAAAAGGTATGACACAAAGGAAAGAGACAAATGTAGAACACAAAGGAAGGACACGAAGGTAGAACACGAATTTAGGACACAAAGGTAAGACACGAAGATAGGACATGAAGGAAGGACAAAAAGAAAGGACATGAAGGAACGTAAAAGGAGCTGTTCACTTAAAAACTACCACTTCATGACATCACAAGGTGGAACAGAGCGTTTTGAGTTTTGTAAATGTCGACAGACTGATAATAAAGAGTTACTCAAACATGAATGAAACAAAACACAACTCCAGCTCTGTTTTTGACGAGGAAACAACATTAAAACACGATTTAAAGCCAAAAGAGTCAATTTTACATAATATAGGACCTTTAATTAAAAAATAAAATAAAAAAATGACTGAATCTTGATTAAATTTGCGTCGTTTGAAGTTTGCGTTTGGACTGAGGATGGAGGCGTCTGGACTCTGGACACTGACCTTCCTGTTCTGGACTGTGAGCTCAGACCAGTACCACTCCTGCGTGAGCCACAACACACAAGGTTACTGCCACAGACTGTGAACAAACGGACACGCGCTAAACCCGCCGCGTTCTAAACAGGAAGTGAGCATGGGCGCGCTTCCGGCTCCATCGACTCTGGCTCCAGTTCACTTTACATCAAAAACCTGTCCCACCTCTCTCTGTAGCTGCTGTTGTGAATCTTGTCATTTTTTTGTTTTTTAAATGTTCGTATTAAGCTGCTCAACACGATCCTGCAGTTTTTATTTCGATACTCTTTCCAAATTAAAGCTGCACTGTGTAACTTTTCTGGTGTGGAGCGTCCGTCAGATGCTTTGTTGCTTCGAATTTTGATCGCGATTTCAATTTGTGTGTCAAAGAAACTACAAACTCATATAATCGAGTTGAAACGATTTAAAGCTTAACAAAGTTTATTTTGGGATATTTTTCATATAAATAAATTTATTTATTTTATTTTTTAAATGTAGAGATTGTAGAAGAGCTGGATATAAAGTTTATTTTGGACACATTTATTTTTTTCTGCCTTATTTCATGTCCAAAGTTTATTTGATTCATTTTATGTTTTATACATCGCAAAACTGCTCCAAGGTTCAGATTTGTAGTCGATATTTATTTTCAAAAGTGTTTTTTAAGGGAAATGCTGAATAAATGCATCGTGTAACTAAAAAATAATCATTTGAATTATCGTGATTTCAATATTGACCAAAATAATCGTGATAAGGATTTTTTTCCATAATCGAATCTGGAATGTTCCACAGTGGGGCATTAAACCTTTCTATCTTCATGGAGACCAAACCAGAGCAAGTTCCAGGTCAGATCTGCGGAGAGGCGACCCTGCTCACAGTCAGAATGTTTGTTTTTCTACGAATTTTTGAGCTCTAAATACCTAGCTCTCCACCTGTGACTGAATAAATGTAAAGTCGAGCTGTTTAAAGTCACACTGTGGAACATTCCAGGCAGAGCGGTGACGTATCCGTAGAAACAAGCAGGTGACGAACGCCCAACCAAAAAATTTACACAGTGCAGCTTTAAGATACAGTATGACGATTATAACAAATCCAGTGCTTAGTTTCGCTCTCGGATTTCCAAATACGCCCTGTGGTAGTACACCAGACCTGCACCTGCCCGCACCTGCCCACACCTGCCCGCACCTGCCCGCACCTGCCCAGTCCAGCGACACACCCGCCTGTTAACCCGTGATTATATCAAAGTTAAATCTGCACCTGCCCGGACCCAATAACATCAGACCTGTTACCCGCCCGCGTCCGTGAAAAATCAGCGTCAGACCATTAGTCCAGCAGCCCAATTGTCCAGGACTAAACCAGGACTGAACCAAGACTAAACCAGGACTAAACCAAGACTAAACCAGGACTAAACCAGGTCTAAACCAGGATTAAACCAGGTCTATACCAGCACTAAAACCAGATCTAAACCAGGACTAAACCAGGTCTAAACCAGGACTAAACCAGGACTAAACCAGGACTAAACCAGCACTAAACCAGCACTAAACCAGGTCTAAACCACGTCTAAACCAGGATTAAACCAGGACTAAAACCAGGTCTAAACCAGGACTAAACCAGCACTAAAACCAGATCTAAACCAGGACTAAACCAGGTCTAAACCAGGACTAAACCAGGTCTAAACCAGGTCTAAACCAGGACTAAACCAGGTCTAAACCAGGACTAAACCAGGTCTAAACCAGGATTAAACCAGGTCTATACCAGCACTAAACCGGGTCTAAACCGGGTCTAAACCAGGACTAAACCAGAACTAAACCAGGACTAAACCAGGTCTAAACCAGGTCTAAATCAGAACTAAACCAGGTCTAAACTAAGTATTTTTCTCCCGTTCGTCGTTCATTTGATTCACCTGACTCGCCTGTGTGTGATCACTACCCGCCCGTAAAATTCCAGAACGTTAAAACCCGCCCATTTCGCCGACCCGGTGCAGGACTCTGTAGCCAACCGGGCCGCTGTAACCGCAGGCCACGCTGAGCTTCACTTGACTGGAGCCAGACGCCGCGCTCGCTCCGCCGCGCTCGCTCCGCCGCGCTCGCTCCGCCGCGCTCGCCCGCTCGCCGCGCCCCGCTCGCGCCGCGCCCGCTCGCTCCGCCGCGCTCGCTCCGTCGCGCTTTGTTATACAGTCTGTGGATTCTGCTCACGGTGTGGACGCTCCAAGTCCTGTTTCCATGGCAACGCTGGCCACAGAAAACCGACGTTAACAAGCATAATAATAAAACATTTGATTTCTACAGAGCTTTTTCTAAACACTCAGACGCTGTACGAAGAATACAATTTAAAAAGAGCATATTTAAAAACAAAATATAAGCATGAAATTTAAAAAAAAAGTATAATAAAAATAAATAAAAGTAGGTTAGACATTAAAGTGGGTCTAAATCGAAGAGTTCTGAGCAGTTTCTTGAAGGTGGAGAGCTCAGTAAAGGTTATTTATTGTCACTCACCTCCACGCTCCACTGTAAATATGTGTAAAAGTGTCTTGCTCAAGGGCACAGAACAGTGCGGCGTAGCCCGGCTCACCCACCTGCGGTTTGCCTTCTTTGTACTGAGGCCTGAAGTCGGACGCGCCGCCGTTCCGCTGGTTCTGTACGGGAACAAACACGACAAACACACGACTGTTAGGGGCGAGGTCACATCCGGGTCCAACGGCCGAGTCTCATTTTTCTTTCCTCGCTTCCTTCTCCTCGATTCCTTCTCCTCGGAAACAGGTGAGGAAGTCCCGCCCACAGAGGAGACGCGGGGAGGAGAGAGGATCTAAACTCCTCACTGACAACGAGAAAGTTTGATTCTTTTCTCTGACGTCTGCTCCTTAAGACTCCCTCAGGTTTACTCCTTCACTCAGGTTTACTCCTTTCCTCCTTCCTTCCCTCAGCTTTCCTCCTTCCTTCCCTCCCTCAGGTTCCCTCCTTCCGTCAGGTTCCCTCCTTCCCTCCTTCCTTCAGGTTTCCTCCTTCCCTCCTTCCTTCAGGTTTCCTCCTTCCCTCCTTCCTTCAGGTTTTCTCCTTCCCTCCCTCCTTCAGGTTTCTTCCTTCCCTCCCTCCCTCAGGTTTCCTCCTTCCCTCCTTCCTTCAGGTTTCCTCCTTCCCTCTTTCCCTTAGGTTTCCTCCTTCCTTCCTTCCTTCCCTCCCTCCTTCAGGATGTTAACAGTCTGTTGTTCTCTGTTCTATGAATTCTATCTAAATGTCTGCTCCTGATCTCTCATTTTATAAAATACATTTTCCCAAAAAAAGTGCCACTTATATAAGGTTTTTTCTTCTTGATTATGCACTTTTGGCTGGTGTGATTTATATTTCGGAGAGACTTGTAGTCCGAAAATTATGGTAAACGTAAAGGGAAAAAAATTTGAAAAAAAAAACAATACTTTAGCCATTTGCGTGCTGGTTGGATTAGACTGTGTTGTGTGTTTTTTGTCGCACGTTTAAAAATCTTTTAAGACCAAAAGATTCTGTAGTGTGTGTGGCCTTGACTCTGTACCTGGGGCCTCATACTGACCACGTGTCCTGAGGAGGTCTGGGCCGAGGTGTTCTTCAAATCATTTGGATCTGAAAACACAAAAGACAAGATCGAATTAATATAACTCGAATTCACAATAATCCATGTGTCATTCATTCATTTGTTTTTCAAAATAAAACCAAAAATAAGAAAATGAAAAAAAAAATACATTTTTTTTCTTCATTATTTGTCTCCAAAACCAAAATGAAAAAAAAAAAAACAGATAATGATTCATTTTTTCAGTTTTCGATTTTGTATTTAAATTAATAAAGGAAAAAACAGATAATGGACTGAACAAGGACTGTTTTAGTCCTGGTTCAGTTCTGGTTTAGTCCTGGTTTAGTCCTGTTTCAGTCCTGTTTCAGTCCCAGTTTAGTCCCGGTTCAGTCCTGATTCAGTCCGTTATCAGTTTTTTCCAAAAATCAAATCATTATCTGTTTTTTCATTTTGGTTTTGGAGACAAATAATGAAGAATTTTTTTTCTTATTTAGGTTTTATTTTGAAAAACTAATGAACGAATAACACACAGATTCACAATATTAACCTTACGATAACAGACAAATAGACAATTTAACAATCATTAAATTAGTGTATTTAAAAAATTAACTGTACTCTGTTCAAAGTATCGAAAATCAAATCAAATCTAGACACTGATTTTCGCAGATGTCGATACTAAAAAAAGTCTCATCAGAATCGGGTTTTAAGTTTCAGCGCGGTGAGACGACTTGTGTACTCACGCTCGACGAGGAAGAGGAAGCAGACGAGGCCCATGGCGGCGATGATGAGTCCGGGGACGAGGAAGGACAGGCCCCAGTGAGACGAGACCCAGTACCCGGCGATCAGGGACCCGGCGATGTTCCCCACCGACGTGTGAGAGTTCCACAGGCCCATGATCAGCCCACGCCTGGAGAACGGAGGGGGAGGGGCCAGAGCATCAGCACGAGCAGGTGAGGGCGGGTGAGTCCTGGTCGAGTCCAGGTCGAGTCCGGGTCGAAATCCTGGTGAAGTCCAGGTGAAGTCCTGGTCGAGTCCTGGTATAGCACATGTGTTGTCCCAGTCTAATCCAGGACTGGTCCAGTTCTAGTCCCTGGTCTCAGCCCCCGGTCTCCGGTCTAAATCTCCGGTCTAAATCTCCGGTCTAAATCTCCGGTCTAAATCTCCGGTCTAAATCTCCCGTCTAAATCTCCCGGTCTAAATCTCCGGTCTAAATCTCCGGTCTAAATCTCCCGTCTAAATCTCCCGTCTAAATCTCCCGGTCTAAGTCCCCCGGTCTAAGTCCCCCGGTCTAAGTCCCCCGGTCTAAGTCCCCCGGTCTAAGTCCCCCGGTCTAAGTCCCCCGGTCTAAGTCCCCGGTCCCAGTCCTTAGACCTAGATTAGACCGGATCTAGACTAAGTCCCCATTTTAAGTCCCCCAGTCTAAGTCTTGGTCCCCAGTCTCGGTCCCCGATCTCGGTAACCAGTCTTCGTCTTGACTCGGTCTAATCCAGGTCTCAGTTCTTGGTCTCAGTTCTTGGTCTCAGTTCTTGGTCTCAGTTCTTGGTCTCAGTTCTTGGTCTCAGTCCCCGGTCTCAGTCCCCGGTCTCAGTCCCCGGTCTCAGTCCCCGGTCTCAGTCCCCGGTCTCAGTCCCCGGTCTCAGTCCCCGGTCTCAGTCCCCGGTCTCAGTGCTCGCCTAATCCAGGTCTAGTTCCCAGTCTAAGTCCCCAGTCTCGATAACTAGTCTTCGTCTAGACTCGGCCTAATCCAGGTCTAAGTCCCTGTTCTAGGTCCCTGTTCTAGGTCTCGGTCATTAGTCTTGGTGTACATTTGGTCCCGGTCTCAGTCCCCGGTCTCAGTCCCCGGTCTCAGTCCCCGGTCTCAGTCCCCGGTCTCAGTCCCCGGTCTCAGTCCCCGGTCTCAGTCCCCGTCTCAGTCCTCGGTCTCAGTCCTCGGTCTCAGTCCCCGGTCTCAGTCCCCGGTCTCAGTCCCCGGTCTCAGTCCCCGGTCTCAGTCCCCGGTCTGGGTTTTAGTTCCAGTCTCGGTCTTGTTCTTGGTCTTACCGTCCTTTCCCAAACCAGTTGCCGATGCAGGTGACCACACTGGGCCAGCCCGTGGTCTGCACCAGGCCGTTCAGCACCTGCCAACCCCACAAACTTCAGTTACACAACGGAAAAACACGTCACGTCACTTTCCGTTTCCATGGCGACATCACTGCTCTGCCTGGAATGTTCCACAGTGAGACTTTAAACAGATTCTACTTCACATTTCTTCAACCACAGGTGTTTTTAAAGCACAAAAACACCTCAAAAAAACCGACATTCTGACTGTGAGCGGGGTCGCCTCTCCACAGATCTGACCCGTTACCAATGTTGAGAAGGTGACTTTAAAAATGTAATCCCCTACAGATTACAGATTACATACACCAAAATGTAGTTTGTAACATAATCCAGTAAATTACTCAAAGTGAGTAACGTAATCTGAATACTTTGGATTACTTGATTTAGTCCTGGTTTTAGTCCTGGTTTTAGTCCTGGTTTTAGTCGTGGTTTTAGTCCTGGTTTTAGTCCTGGTTTTAGTCCTGGTTTTAGTCCTGGTTTAGTCCTGGTTTTAGTCCTGGTTTTAGTCCTGTTTTTGTTGTTTTTTGTCCTGGTTTGTCCTGGTTTTAGTCCTGGTTTTAGTCCTGGTTTTAGTCCTGGTTTTAGTCCTGGTTTTAGTCCTGGTTTTAGTCCTGGTTTTAGTCCTGGTTTAGTCTTTTTCTGGTTTTAGTCCTGGTTTTAGTCTGGTTTTAGTCTGGTTTAGTCCTGGTTTTAGTCCTGTTTTAGTCCTGTTTTAGTTTGGTTTAGTCCTGGTTTAGTCCTGGTTTTAGTCCTGGTTTTAGGTTCTGGTTTTAGTCCTGGTTTTAGTCCTGGTTTTAGTCCTGGTTTTAGTCCTGGTTTTAGTCCTGGTTTTAGTCCTGGTTTTAGTCCTGGTTTTAGTCCTGGTTTTAGTCCTGGTTTTAGTCCTGGTTTTAGTCCTGTTTTAGTCTGGTTTTAGTCCTGGTTTTAGTCCTGGTTTTAGTCCTGGTTTTAGTCCTGGTTTTAGTCCTGGTTTTAGTCCTGGTTTTAGTCCTGGTTTTAGTCTGGTTTTAGTCCTGGTTTTAGTCCTGGTTTTAGTCCTGGTTTTAGTCCTGGTTTTAGTCCTGGTTTTCCCTGGTTTTAGTCTCCTGGTTTAGTCCCTGGTTTTACTCCTGGTTTTAGTCCTGGTTTTAGTCCTGGTTTTGGTCCTGGTTTTAGTCCTGGTTTAGCCCAAAATGTGAAAACAGTTAAATCCCTCTGTGTAATCCATTTATTTCAACAAAGTAACTGTAATCCAATTACCACTCACTGAAACAGTAACTGTAACTGAATACAGTTACTCATCATCTGTACTCTGATTACATCACTCCGGTACATGTAATCTGTTACTCCCCGACACTGCCCGTGACTCCGTCCTGTTTGGTCTCCATGGAGATAGAAAGTTTTAAAGTCATACTGTGGGACATTCCAGGCAAAGCAATAACCATAAACTCCATGGAAAGTTACACACAGAGGATGAAAATAAACCCGGTCTGATGTAATGTTTGAGACGAGTTAAACATTATCCAGATTTATTTAAACACTGCAGAAAACGACTCCCCGTTTAAAGTGAATCTGTGACCAGAAACCGCGGCGGAGAACGTCAGATTCTGTACGTTTTAAAATCCTAAGTGAAAAAAAAAGTCTTGGTGAAAAAGTTTGAGAGTGACTCGGAGAAGGGCTCAGGTTTTACAGCTGATTTTGTGGCGTTTTATTTGGATCCGGGTGAATCATGTGAACACGTTTTTACATCATCTTCTGTCAATCTGTAACCACAAACAGCAGGCGACCGTCCCACTTTTATCAAACGCTTTACGCAACTTACTGGAAGTCTTTTGTTCTGTTTGCAGCGGGGGTCAGTGCCGTCTTTGTGTGATTTTACTCATAATACTGCAGCAAATTAAAATGAGCTCTGTGGAGGAAGTGCCTGGGGTGAGGGAGGTTCCTGCTCTAGACCTGACAGTGGAGAAGCGAACAAAGATAGATGCATTTTTACTATTTAATAGGAGTATATCGGTACAAAACCATTTCGGTACAGGATGTTGAATTTGTGTATCGTGTTTTATACAATCCTCATTAATGTTCAATAATGGTCACAAATTTATTTTGTGATTTATGAATAATGTCTGAAGGTTTGTGACTTCTAAAATATGGGTTCCCAGAAAAAAAGTTTGGGAAACACTGATATATCCTATAAATGTGTGACTTTATTTCTCTATTTTGTCCCTAAATCAAGATCTGAACATGACTAACCGACCAATCAGAGCCTTCATCCCCTGAGGCCACGCCCACTAGTCTTAGCAACAGGTTTGATTGACAGATCATGACTTGTTTCTAAGGGCCCGCCCCCTGCCATATCAGGAGTGCACCCGTCGTACCCGCACCCGTCGTACCCGCACCTGTCGCATCTGCACCCGTCGTCCCTGAAGCTGTCGTACCTGCACCTGTACGTACTGTCGCACCTGTCGTACCTGCACCTGTCGTACCTGCACCTGTCGTACCTGAAGCTGTCGTACCTGCACCTGTCGTACACCTGCACCTGTCACACCTGAAGCTGTCATACCTGCACCTGTCGTACTTGAAGCTGACGTACCTGCACCTGTTGCACCTGCACCTGTCACACCTGTCACACCTGAAGCTGTCATACCCGCACCTGTCATACCTGCACCTGTCGTCCCTGAAGCTGTCGTACCTGCACCTGTCGCACCTGAAGCTGTCGTACCTGCACCTGTCGTACCTGAAGCTGTCGTACCTGCACCTGTCGCACCTGCACCTGTCGCACCTGCACCTGTCACACCTGAAGCTGTCATACCTGCACCTGTCGTACTTAAAGCTGACGTACCTGCACCTGTCGTACCTGCAAACCTGCACCTGTCGTACTTGAAGCTGACGTACCTGCACCTGTCGTCCCTGAAGCTGTCATGCCTGCACCTGTCGTACCTGCACCTGTCGCACCCGCACCTGTCGTACATGCACCTGTCGCACCCGCACCTGTCGTACCCGCACCTGTCGTACCTGCACCTGTCGTACCTGCACCTGTCGTACCTGAAGCTGTCGTACCTGCACCTGTCACCTGCACCTGTCATGCCTGCACCTGTCGTACCTGCACCTGTCGTACCTGCACCTGTCACACCCGCACCTGTCGTACATGCACCTGTCGTACATGCACCTGTTGCACCCGCACCTGTCGTACATGCACCTGTCGTACCTGCACCTGTCGTACATGCACCTGTCGTACCTGCACCTGTCGCACCCGCCACCTGTCGCACCCGCACCTGTCGTACCCGCACCTGTCGTACCGCACCTGTCGTACATGCACCTGTCGTACATGCACCTGTCGCACCCGCACCTGTCGCACCCGCACCTGTCGTACCTGCACCTGTCGTACATGCACCTGTCGTACATGCACCTGTCGCACCCGCACCTGTCGTACATGCACCTGTTGTACATGCACCTGTCGCACCCGCACCTGTCACACCCGCACCTGTCGCACCCGCACCTGTCGTACCCTGTCGTACACAGTGATGTAGAAGCTCAGACTGTGGATGTTGTAGAAATATCCCAGACCAAAGAGGCAGGTGAAGAGTCCGCTGGTCCACATGCCCACGCTCAGGTACAGACGGATGGGCACACGCTCGCCGATGATCCCACTGCCGAGAATCAAGTACAGAGTCCATGAAATCACATACTAATGTTCACTAACAGAGTCAAAAATAAATATTAATTTGAGAAGAAAAAACACACCAACAAGACAAACTCTGACCTTTCCTGAACGGTGAATGAAAAGAAAAGTGGGGCTGGGATTAAATAAGTTTTCTTCTTCTTACTCCTTTTTTTCCTTTTTAAAAAGAAATTATTTCAATAAAGTTTTATGTTCTATTTTATAAGAATGTAAATCTCTACTTGACCAAAATAAACACATAAATACAAAATAAAAATAAATAAAAAGATTAATTATTTGGTGCTGAAAGTTACATAAAAATATAAAAAATAATAAAAATAAAATAAAATAATAATAATCATAACAGTAAAAAAATATAAAAACTATAAAAATAAATATAATAATAATAATACTAATAATAATACTAATAATACTACTACTACTACTACTACTACTACTACTACTACTAATAATAATAATAATAATAAATAAATCAATCTTTATCGTCACGTTTCAGTCCCACACTGCCAGCTCAGGCCTAAATCATCAGAGGTATAATACTCCCTACAACAGAAGCACAGCCGGACTGGACTGGCTCAAAGAGGTTCAACTTTTTGGCCAATTTTATTTCCAAATAAAGACTCGTTTAACAGAGCTGCGTCCTTCAGAGGGTCATGCGGTGTTACGCTGCAGAGGCTGAGTTACACTGAGTTTGGGGGCCATTCCGCTACCCGCGTCGGTATTGGGGAATAGCGCCACCTGCAGTCAGACCGCAAACATCTGCTAGGGATGTAACGGTGTCTATGTCTACGTTCAGACTGCAGGGCTTAATGCTCAATTCCGATTTTTTTGTGAAATCCGATGTTTTTGCGAGGTCGTTCACATTGCCAGTTAAATGCGACTTGTATGTGTCTCCAGTGTGAACGGTAAACGGCCCGAAAATGTCTCCACATGTGACACTGGAGACACGATGACGTCAACCGCAGCGAGCGTCTCTGTGTTTACGGAAGTTGTCCAAACATGGACGCGAGCATTGAGCACCTGGAGATTTTAAAGTTCCGGTTTCCGCCTGCTTCAGTGCAGAATAGTGACGTTTGTGTCTTGTTGATAACGTGTAGGTGGATGAATGTGACTTTGACCGTTCACACTGAAGTCGCATGTCAAAAGATCAGATATGGATCAGTTTCAGGAGCACATATCAAGTGTCCTGGGTCATGTTTGAAAAAATCGGATCTGTGCAGTTCAGACTGTCATTAAAAGATCAGATACAGGTCACTTAGGCTGCGTTCAGACTGCAGCCTGAAGTGACCCATAATCCGATTTTTTGGCTTCTATGTTCCTGTATCTGATCTTTTAATGTCAGTCTGAACGACACAGATCCGATTTTTTCAAATGTGACCCAGGACACTTGGATATGTGCTCCTGAAACCGATACATATCTGATCTTTAACATGTGACTTCAGTCTGAATGGCCAAAGCGCATCCATCCACCTACACGTTATCAACAAGCCACAAACGTCACTATTCTGCGCTGAAGCAGGCGGAAACCGGAACTGTAAAATCACCAGGTGCTCAATGCTCGCGTCCATGTTTGGACAACTTCCGTAAACACAGAGACGCTCGCTGCGGTTGACGCATGCGGTTGACGTCATCGTGTCTCCAGTGTCACATGCGGGACACTTTCGGGCCGTTTACCGTTCACACTGAAGTCACAGACAAGTCGCATTTAACTGGAAATGTGAACGACCTCGAAAAAACATCGGATGTCACAAAAAAATCTGAATTGAGCGTTAAGCCCTGCAGTCTGAACGTAACCATAGAAGCCAAAAAATCGGATTTGGGTCACTTCAGGCTGCAGTCTGAACGCAGACTTTATCTCTCGAGACAATACTTTCCCCCTGTGTGAGCGGTGAGAACTGACCTGAGGTACATCCCCACGGCGTACGCGCACAGGAAAGAGTAATCCATGGCCCCCAGCAGCTGCTTGTAGTTACTCTTATCTGGAAACACAAACACGCACACAGACACACACAGGTCAGTAGAGTTGTCCGGTTTTCTCTCTGGAGGTTCTCGGAGGTGGTGAGTGTCTGTGCGAGTTCTGACCGAAGGGTTTCCAGCTGCATTGTTCCGGGGGCACGGTGACGGCAGACGGGGTCCATGTCTCACTCACAGACGAGCAGTTCTTATGGAGCTCACTCTGGAAACACAACACACACACACAAACACACACAATTACACACAACACACACAGAACTTTTATTCATGTGTTTGATTCTAAAATATCCCAGAATCCTAAAGAATCCATTTGTCATTCGTTCATTCCTTTTTTAAAATAAAACCAAAAATAAGAAAACGAAAAAACAACTATTTTCTTCTTTATTTGTCTCCAAAATCAAAATTTAAAAAACTGATAACGGCCGTTTCCCGTTTACATGACTTAAACTAAGATGTCGGACTTTTGCTCCGCACACAGACTGAACCAGGACTGAACCAGGAGGTCTAAAACAGGACTAAACCACAACTGAACCAGTACTGAACCAGGTCTAAACCAGGTCTAAAGCAGGTCTAAAGCAGGAGTAAAACAGGACTAAAGCAGGAAGAAAACAGGACGAAAACAGGACGAAAACAGGACGAAAACAGGACGAAAACAGGACTACAGTGATCCCTCGCTATATCGCGCTTCACCTATCGCGGCCTCGCTGCTTCGCGGAATTTTTTACAGTGCTTTATTTTTTACAGTGAATCCTGATTGGCTTAGGGGCGTTACTGTTGTCTAGAAGTGAAAAAGGTTTATATTGGTTTTTCATGACACCCATGCCAACAGTTTTCGTTTCTGTACATTCTGCCAAATTTACGTTCGCAATTTTTCTCCGTGACAAAACCCACAATGTCAAAGAAACGTTCTGTGCCGACAAAGAGGCCTCCAGACGCGCCAAAGAGGCCGCGGAAGATGCTAACTATTGCAGAAAAAGTTAAACTTCTGGACATGCTGAAGGAAGGTAAAAGCTATGCGGCTGTAGGCGCCATTACGGAATAAGAGGCGCAGCTGGAGGGACTGTGAAATACGCGAGTGACAATGTTTCCTACCTTGTATTCATTACTATATAAAAATATTGTTTTACAACACCGTTCTTTAAACTATTATAGATATTTGTAAGAAAATGTTAATATTTCTATTTCTTTAACACATGTTGGGCCTGAAAAGAGGTTTTATTTTTTGTTTCATTCTGCAGTTCAGTATTGCATTGTAAAATCACAGTAAAAAATAAAGCTGACTACTTCGCGGATTTCACCTATTGCGGGTTATTTTTGGAACGTATCCCCCGCGATAAACGAGGGTTCACTGTATACCAGGACCATACCAGGACTATACCAGGTCTAAAACAGGTCTAGAACAGGACTAGACCAGGACTGAACCAGGACTGAACCAGGACTGAACCAGGACTAAACCAGGACTAAACCAGGACTAAACCAGGACTAAACCAGGACTGAACCAGGACTAAACCAGAATTAAACCAGGATTAAACCAGGATTAAACCAGGAATAATCTTGGACTTGAGCGAGAGACACCGGGTGTCCGCAATGCACAATCAGGCGACGGCTGCGACATCCCGTGGGCGCTGTGCTCTGAGCCACTCCTTTCACCTGCGGTCACCCGACGGTCTACACGGGCCCGTCCCGACACTCAGTCCTGGTTCGGTCCTGGTTCGGTCCTGGTTCGGTCCTGGTTCGGTCCTGGTTCGGTCCTGGTTCGGTCCTGGTTCGGTCACACCCCCTGCTCCTTCACAGCTCCCTCAGTAGAAACGTCTCCTCCTTACTCTAGAAATCCTGCTCGTAATTTATAGTAATTTATCGACTGACGGGTCTGCTTCAGTCGCGCCATCGCTGGAAGGAATCTCCAAGAATCAGCTCAGTTCGGCTTCGGTCTTTTTCCCCTTTTCTTCTTCTTTCATCGACCTCAAAAACCGACTTTGTTTTGCGGCGAACTGGTCGTGGATTCTCGTCGACCATCGCAACAAACTTTGCGCAAACCGCGAGGAAGCAACAGTTGGAAAAAGACGCTCAGAACCTCTGCGTTGGTCGAATAAACGGCGTGAGAGGCAAACGTAAACCACATAATCCCAGTGCGCCGGCGACTCAGTTACGCCAGAAACGTAGGGAGTTTGATTGACAACAGTTTAATGTTTATCTGGCTCCACCACGTCCACAGTCGATGGTTTTTCTTTCTTATTTTTTGTTGGTCGTCATAATTACAAGGCTGTTCACTAATTTGAACTTTCAGTGACAATTTGAAACAAAAAAAATCCTCTACACAACCTTTCCGTGCTGTGGAACGTGAGGTCGGCCGTACCTTGACGATGCTGATGGGTTTCCTGGACAGGTGGAAGCTGGTGTAGAGGAGGAAGGTGAGGCAGAAGGTGAGAGCGCGATACCTGCACAGAACAGACAGGGGGCGCCGGTGAGGAGGTGGAAACGCTCTTATAGAGGCTTTGCACCGTCACGTGACCCTATAGCAACGGAACCTACGCCGCCTTGACACCGGGCAACACTATGTCATTGACTTCAGCAGCATCGGAGAAACATGGGCAGGTTTTGTTGTGTATTTGGTTGTTCTAGACCACAGGTGTCAAACATACGGCCCGGGGGCAAGATCTGGCCCTCCAAGACCTTTAATGTGGCCCTCAGCTGATTTTCTACTAAAATGTTTTAATTATATTTTCTGTTAAAATCTTGTTAATTTTCTGTGGTGTTTATCACAGCAGCGTCTCCAGCGTCTCTGTACGTGGCCCCTCCCACCAGAGCAGCACAAATGAAGACTTGTCTCTTTCCAAACGCTCTTAAAGGACGATCGTTTTGACTGTTGACCGTGACACCCTCATCAGAAAAATGTCCAACATGAGAAAAGTGGAGCCGAGTGCAGGATTTTACAACAAAAATGGACTTATTCCTGTTTACAAACAAGTTCATGTTAAAACATTTGTGTTGAAATTGTATTTTTCTTAAAGTTTCAGGTTGTTCATAATATTATAATATTTTGTAAAAGAAAGAGTTCATCAATTAAAATATTTCTGTAATAGATTTGTGTTTCTCTGCACAAATATTTGAACTTATTGTTATTTTTGGGGTTTATATGACATGAGTTTTCTGATCCAGACACTTTGGGATCAAAGTCGGTTGGACACGACCCTGGAACAAAATGAGTTTGACTCTCCTGGTCTAGAACAACCAAATACACAACAAAACCTGCCCATGTTTCTCTGATGCTGCTGAAGTCAGTGACATAGTGTTGCCCGGTGTCATGGCGGCATAGGTACCGTTGCCATGGGGACACGTGACGGCGCAAAGTCTCTATAGAAGATTTGCCTTTAAGAAAATCCAGAGGAGCGTGGCACTCACCACTGGTCTCTGTTGAACGAGACCAGAAAACGGATCCCGGGAGGAAGAGGAGCCATGGCCCGGGGTCAGGGGTCAGGGGTCACAGAGGAGTCAGCTCCCTCCTGTCCACTCCATCACACTGAAACACACAACAGGTTGGTTTTTAATATTATTTATGCTGGAATAATGTGATGTAAAAAAAAAAGTCGTATTTTTCAGACTGTAAGTGTGACTTTGTTCATGGTTTGTTCACATGAAACTCAAACATTTTAATTGTCAAAACAGTGAAAATGTCAAATGTGTCGCATAAACGAGTTTCCTTCCTCTGAACAAACAACAAATTTAGTCAAATAAACCAAAAAATCCTCTTGGTGATGTATCGATACAGCCGCCCACGATATCGATACCGAAACATCACATTAAAACGATACGATATAGTGATATTTAGATCATTTTTAGGGGTGTGCAAAAATATTGAAATATCGATATATCGTATCGCTTAATGTGATGATATAGTTTCGATATCATGGGCTGCTGTATCGATATATCGCCAAGAGTTTTTTTTGGTATATTTTACTCAATTATTTTATTACAGCTCTACATTTTTGTCGTTTGTTTAGTGGAAGGAAACACATTTATGTAACACATTTGACATTTTCACAGTTTTGAGGGTTAAAATGGGCATGTTTCTTATTCACTTTGCACAACGATGATTTATTTAAGATTTTTAGTGTCACAGCCACGATTTAGCCTTTATTTTTACTGAACTGTATCAAATTGATTTGAAATATATCGTATCAAATTCAAAGTGCACTGTATCGTGATATGTATCGTATCGGCAACTTCTGAATGATACTCAGCCCTAATA